TTTCTCCTTGTCTCTTTATTTCACTCTTTCTCTTTCTTTCCTCAGCTTGCTGTCCTGCACTCCTCCTTCCTCTTCTTCTCTTTATTTCACTCTCTTTCTCTCTTTCTTTCCTCAGCTAGCTCTCCTGCACTCCTCTGTCTCCTCTTTCTCTCATTTCACTCATTCTTTCCTCAACTAGCTCTCCTGCACTCCTCTGTCTCCTCTTTCTCTCCATATTTCCCCCCTTCTTTCTCAGCTAGCTCACCTGCACTCCTCTTTCTGTCGTTATTTGACTCTTTCACTCTTTCGTTCCTCAGCTATCGCTCCTTCTACCCATTTCTATTTCACTATTTCACTTTATTCCACTCCTTTCCTCAGCTAGCTCTCCTACACTCCTTTTTCTCCTTGTTCTCTCTTTATTCCACTCTCTTTCTCTCTTTCTTTCCTCAGCTAGCTCTCCTGCGCTCCTCTTTTTCCTTGTTCTCTCTTTATTTCACCCTTTCTTTCCTTAGCTAGCTCTCCTGCGCTCCTCTTTCTCTCGCTATTTCACTCTCTTTCTCTTTCACCTTTATTACTCAGCGAGCTCTCCTTCTAACACTTTTTCTCATTACTTCACTCTATTTCACTCATTTCCTCAGTTAGCTCTCCTGCACTCCTCTTTCTCCTCGCTCTCTCTTTATTTCACCCTTTCCTTCCACAGCTAGCTCTCCTGCACTCCTCCTTCTCCTCTTTCTCTCATTATTTCACCCTTTCTTTTCACAGCTAGCTCTCCTGCACTCCTCTTTCTCCTTTTCTTTCTTTGACCCCCTGCACTCGTTCTCATCTCAGCTAGCTCTGTTTCTCATTCTACCCCTCTTTCTCCTTCTTCTCCCTCTTTTTTTTTACATCCTCTTATGCTCTTTCTCACCTCTGCTAACTCTCTTTCTCTCTCTCCTCCTCAGCATAGTATAAAAGCCTTGCTCGCTAGTGTGCTGACTCAGCTGCCGTTGCGAGTCAAACCTCCACCGAGAAGCTGCTATCAATGCCGTTCTTTCCTTTTTTTTCTTTTCTGCTGACTCCCCAGCTCTGTCCTTCCCTCAAAGCCTTGCCTCATCCACTCTTTCCAAGAAAGCCCATCTCTCACACTTTTTCACACCTGTCCCTCACTCACGCGCTCTGTTCCATCTCCGAACCCCCAGAGCCTGCAGCTGCTGATAAGCCTCGCGCTGTCTGGTGAGCGGAGCTATTCCTGTTCCTCTGTGTGCGCCTACCTGTCCGTCTGCCTGAGCCCCCCGAACGAGTGTGGAACAGTTCTTGTCTGTAGGGACTGATCTTCTGAGAACCGAGTCTGGATGACAAAGACGGGTTGAAGGCCATCTGTGTCGCTCCATCTGCTCTGGACTGTTCACACTGTTTGCTTTACAGATTTACTGATTAGCACTGTTCTGATGTAACACTGTATAAAGCAGTGCGCTCATGTAGTGAAGTACACACTCAAAAAAGATGGTTCTTCAAGGGTTCTTTAGTGAATGCAATGGTTCTATGTTTTCCATTTCATGCTTAAATGGTTCTTTGCATGGTGAAATCAGATTGATGGAGAATGTGTTGTGTATGGTTCTGTATGGAACTTTTTCAAAAATGGTTCTATATGGTGCCAAAAAGGGTTCTGCTATTGTTATGATATTATGCTGGAGAAGAACCCTTTTTGGTGCTATATAGTGACACCATCTTTTCTAAGAGTGAAGAGCCATTTCACCATGCAAAGAACAATTTAAGCATAAAATGGTTCTACACTCTTAAAAAGATGGTTCTTCAAGGATTCTTTACTAAAAGACAATGGTTCTACATAGAGCCATAAATGCTCAAAGAACCATTTGAATGTTTAAATGGTTCTTTGCATGGTGAAATAGTTCTTCAGATTGTGTGGTGAATGGTTCTACATAGAACCTTTTTAAAAATGGTTCTGTATAGCACCGAAAAAGGTTCTGCTACTGTTACTGTTCTACAATGAATTATTTAGGATCTACTATGTATTATTTAGTATTTACTATGAATTATTTAGTATCTACTATGAATTATTCAGTATCTCCTATGAATTATTCATAACTACAATGAATTATTCAGGATCTAAAATGAATTATTTGGTATCAACTATGAATTATTCATTAATTACAATTAATTATTCAGTAACTAAAATGAATTATTTGGTATCAACTATGAATTATTCTGATTACATGAATTATCAGATTAAGAATTAATTATTAGTATCTACTATGAATTATTCAGTAACTAAAATGAATTATTCAGTATCTACTATGGATTATTCAGTAACTACTATGAATTATTCAGTATCTCCTATGAATTATTCATTAATTACAATTAATTATTCAGTAACTAAAATGAATTATTTGGTATCAACTATGAATTATTCTGTAATTACAATTAATTATTTAGTATCTACTATGAATTATTCAGTAACTAAAATGAATTATTCAGTATCTACTATGGATTATTCAGTAACTACAATGAATTATTCAGTATCTACTATGGATTATTCAGTAACTACTATGAATTATTCAGTATCTCCTATGAATTATTCATTAATTACAATTAATTATTCAGTAACTAAAATGAATTATTCAGTATCTACTATGGATTATTCAGTAACTACTATGAATTATTCAGTATCTACTATGAATTATTCAGTATCTAAAATGAATTTTTTAGTATCTACTGTATCTGTCTGATTCATTTTAGTACATTTGTATCTGTGTAGAAATTCAGTATCAATTAAGAATGATTCACTTTCTACTATGAACTATTCAGTATCTACTGTATCTGTTTGTTTCATTTTACTACATTTGTAACCGTGTAGAAATAGATTATATTTACATTTCTCCATAATCCAAGCAGATGTTGTCCCAATTCCTACATTTTTAGAACTATTTATAAACATACAAAACATTGGATATCAGCAACAGTCCATAATTCCTGGTGCATGGGTGTATTCCTAAATTTGGTTTCTAATTTCCACCACAATTAAAGGTACGTCAGTTTTGTTTTGCACGGATATTTCTTCTTATAAAGTTCTCTTCTGTGTGAATTTTGGATTCATATGTTATATGATCTTGACTTTTCTAGGCTAGTTCACACACACACACACACACACACACACACACACACACACACAGGTGGCAAGTAAACGCAGAGCCAGCTTCACTGCAGGCCCATCCGCTCTGCACTCTGCAGAATTCCTCAGCATCAGATCAGTGCCAGCCCCCGCCTTTCTTCTGTTCTCACTTACATAACCTGCCTGCACCAGCTAAAAATGGACAAGTAAAAACAATTATAGCTTCAGTTATGCAGAGCCTGCCTGACAGTGACTCATCGCGAATGTGTGCACCGCAATATTTGTGATCACTTCTGTTTTTAGCATCATGGTAATCTATCTGTGTGGGTGTAAAGGCTTTCGTTTCCTGCCTGGGTTTGTATTGATGCCTGCAATTTGGCGGGTCAACGTGCGATCCCGAACTTAATTAAAAAGGTGATTAATGGCGGCTCTGTGTGTTTGCATGTCTCTGTGCCACACCAGCTGACACAGAAGTGTTGCCATGGTGACAGAAGTCAAGCCGAAGCGAGACCCGAGGCATCGTAATGGAAATGTCTCCCTCGTTCTCCAACAAATGATCCTTTTTGTCCTTTTGTCCTTTTAACAGACCTAATTCACACTTTAGCAGCAGAAACAAAGGTCACCAAGCAAAACAAGCAGGTCTCCAAGAACTACTGCCAGAGGAGCATTACAGACACCTCTAAAGGCCATTCACCAATCCATCTATCCATCCATCCATCCATCCATCCATCCATCCATCCATCCATCTGTCCATTAACTCAATAATCGCTATTCATCTATTCATCAATCCATTAATCCTTCAGCCAATCTTTCATTTCAGTTGTCCCCATTCTCTCATCCATTCATCCATCCATCCATCCATCCATCCACCAATCCATCCATCCATCATCATCCGTTCATCCATTATCCAACATCTCTGTAACACTCTGTTTATTCATTCATCCGCCCATCCACTCAACAGTCCCTATTCATCCATTAGTCCATCCATTCCTTTATCATTCATCAAGACAGTCACGAATGCACCAATCTCACCACCCACCTACTCAACAGTTCTATCCATCCATCCACCCATCCATCCATCCATCCATCCATCCATCCATCCATCCATCCATTTATCATTCATTCAGCCAATCAGCTATCCTTTCATTTCAGCAATTTCCACTTACACTTCAACCCATCCATCCATCAATCCACCCATCCATCCTTTCATTTTAAGTCCCTATTTATTCATCCATCCACCCATCCATCCATCCATTTGTTCATTATTTAATTCGCCATAGTTTCATTGCAACAATCTTTTCATTTCAACTTTCCCCATTCACACATCCGTACATCCATCTATTCATCTATCCACCCATCTATCCATCCATCCATCATCTGTTCATCCATTAATCTATTCAAAAGTTTCTATATATTCATCCATTGACTCATGCACTAATCTATCCACCCACCTACTCAACAGGTCTATTTACCCATTAGTCCATCCATCCACCCATCTATCCATCCATTCATCCACCCATCTATCCATCCATTCATCCATCCATCCATCCATCCATTAGCATTCATTTCAGCAGTTTCTATTCAATCATCCATTAATCCAATCATCATAAATCAATCCTTCCATTACACCATTCATTCAACAATCCCTATTAGTCCATTCATCCATCCATCCATCTGTTGCATACATCAATGCATCCATCCTTTCAGTAGTCCCTATTTATCCATTCATCCGCATATTCATCCACCCATCCATTCATCCATGCATCCACTCATTTCAGCAGTCTACAATCATTTATGCATCCTTTCACTTCAGCAGTCATTTCATGCATTCTTTCATTCATCTACCCCATCACTCATCTAATAGTGCTTCTTCAGTCATATGTCCATCCTGTAGAATGTTTATGTGTCCTACCTGGGCGGGGGAGTATAATTTACGGGAGCCATTGGCCTCCTGTCCTGGCTGTGGGTTTGGGGAGAGGGGCTGAGCTCCAGAACAGACAGTCCTTCCCTGCTTTTCTCCTTTTTCTCCTCCATCTCCTGCTCTTCCACCTCCTCCTCCTCCAGCTCCACTAACGCCACCCATGCAACAGAGTGTGCCCTGTGCCAACTCCAGCTCAATCTCAGCGTCCATCTCCGCCTCCTCTTGCGCCTCCTTGTTGGAGTCGTCCAAGTGCTTCATCAGAACGGCCACCACCACGTTGATCAGGACAAACTGGGCAGTCAGCACGAAGCTTACGAAGTAGAGTGGCGAGATGAACTGCAGGCTGGGGTTGCAGTTATATTCGCCCGGTGGGCACTCACGTAGGGTGTCCTAGAAGAGACAGTTTAAGGTTAAATATCTACTTCGCAAATGCCGAACAGTTTGCATTCCTTCCATTCTCAGCACTTGATGTATACATGGTAGTAGCATGGTAGGTTGAGAGCAGTCACCCTCAAAATTATCTAGCCAAGAGCATCTCTATGGTCAGAAAGTGACCACTGATGAAGGACTAGAGGATGGCTAACTGAAACTTCAATCTGGTGGAGGGGTTTCTGATAAAGTGGGCAGCAAGGGGAATATTTTATAACATTTATTTTATATACAGTACTATGTCTTTCATTTTTGCCAAAAGCCAAGTGAAAAAAAACATTGGAGTTCAAAAATGATTAAAAGCTACAGAGAAAACGGGCCTCCTAACAACCACCTGGAAGACCTGGTCGACACCAAAACTGCCCCCATCAGATAAACAGCACTTAAAGCTTTCATCTCTGAGAGAGAAGAGAAAATCAAGCTGCTTCAGATCTGAAAACATCCACAGGTGTTTCTGTCCATCCTTCCACTGTGAGAAGACGACTCAGCGCTGTGGGTCTGAAAGGATGTGTAGCTGTCAAGAAGAACCTCACTGAGAAAAGGAGACGGACACATCAAACAAAGAAGCTGAACGATGGACTGACCACCCCAGAGTCCAGACCTCAACATCACTGAATGTGTTTGGATTACTTCAGAAAATGATCAACCATATGTTTATTAATAATGCATTTGCATAAACGATTAATGCCCAAACACCGTTAACTCATTTTCCTTCTTCAAGCCTTCAACCCATCCATAATAGTGCAGACTGAAGCCCAGCTGCAGTGCACTGTATGTTGCTATAGATGTTATGGAATCTATGAGTGTAACCCTCTCATATAGCTTTAAAATGGCTTTTAAAGTGAAACCTTCAGCAGCTTCAGCAGAGTATGCTGGACAGGGCTTTAGGAGAAGTATGGATAAATCAACAAGTAGCAAACTAACAAAAGCTCCAGTTGCCTTTGAGAACCTCCTCTGTACCAAGAGTTTAGCTCCAGCCCATTCATTCTGAAGTTATAAGGTGTGTTTTAGCTCGGACTGCTTTTAAACACCGAGAAGTCAGAACAGAGCTCGTTTACATATATCAGTCCTAAAAGTACAGTAACAAAAACATTCTGTTTCATTTTTGGTTATGATAAAATGGTCATGTAAAATGAATTATGACTGTTTTGGGTATGCAAAACCACAGAAATGTCTTAAGCAGACCTCAGGGGAACAATAAAAATACAAGAAAAAAATTGAATATGGGCTTTTTAACAGTTAACAGAGAATAAAAATATCCACTCACACAAAATAAGGGACATTTGGAACCGTCCAGAAATACATGCTGAGCACTTTCACAGCCATGTTCGAATGGTACTGCATGTTACCAGGTAGACTGCTGGCTACGCAAATAAAACTATTAACTCAAAATGACACAGGATGCGTGTTTAAGAACCTTGTGCAGCTTCCACAAACAAAGCCCGAGCAGCATGGGGGCAGTGTTAGTGCGTCAGGTGGACTGTGTCCAGCCTCTGCTCATTAAAATGAAAGAATACACACCTTCACTATCATTAGTATGCACTCTGCCGCTTCCCACGACAGGACGGCGGTCTGGTTCTAATTCATTCTGTAAGACCATAAACACGCAACTCTTCCTCTCTTTCTTTCACCAGGAGCTGAGTGGCAGACAGATCTATAGTGACCTATACAGGCTCCGCCCACATGCATTCTTTCATACCGATGGTTATGAGGTTGGACGTGCTTTACAGAATGCTGCTAAAAATCCAATTCAACCTTCATTCTACATTTAGTAGGCAGAATTATCACATACTTAGTCACAGAAGAATAGTAAATTAGCATTTTCTATATGCAAATGAGCTTATGCCAAATATTATACATTCTCATAAAACGTTGAGATGTCTGAACTCTAACAAAAGGCAGGGCAGAGCATCGAACGTTTCTTATCTGTTTAACTCAAAGTAAGAAGCAAAGCAAAGACTACTGCATCCAGCTAATGGTAGACAGTACAAAGCATAGCTATAGTACATAGGATGCATTGCAGAAAATCACTGATAAACATCAAGCTCAAAATATTTTACACTCTACCTATGAAGATTTAATGGAATAAAACTTTCAACATCATTTAGTGAATTTATCAGGTTTGGCATCAGCTCACTAACTCTTCACAAACTCATTGTGTTCCAGCTAAAAGGTATGAGGTTAAATATGATGTGGCTAAGCTAATAATGTTAGCTGAGTTGAAAAAACATGGAATACCTAAGGACTTCATACGCACACCTTTCTTGACATACATTTCAAACCTTAAGTCATCAACTACAAGAAGGATTATTTTATTTTTACTTACAAATCTAATTTCTAATTTTGCTGTGGAGCCTCAACAAGGCAGGAAGAGAGCCGCATATATATATATATATATATATATATATATATATATATATATATATATATATATATATATATATATATATACAAATAATTCAAATAATTCAAAGACTCTTCCAAAGCATCCATCGTTTTACAATCTGGGAAGTGTTTAATATAGAACTAGTGCACTAGGAGGCTAAATACAGTGAGAGGCGACAAATTACTGATATGTGGATCCAGACGGACTAAAATTATCAGACCACTGCTGAGTTCTGTAAAAAGAGTCGACAATTCAGCCTGTAATTTTCTCGGAGGAGGAGGGAGATGACCACAGACATGGCCAATCCAGACAGAAATAAAGTCACAGAGTAGCACCTGTCAGGCTAACGTAGCATCTGTAGGTGCTACCTTGTTGATCAACAGCACAGCTTCACTACTGAAGAGCCTCTTGATTTGGAAAATGTGGCTAAACTAATAGCTTTGCTTCTTGCAGCAACTTCGCTTCTGCCCACCACTGTCCATTTCAGCCTTCCACATCCTTCTCACATCACTCCCTCTCTCTCCTTCAGCACTCCTCTCCCTGTCTCTGCCCCCTCTGTGTGTCTTATCATTTGGAGTAAGAGAGCAGAAAAGAACAGTTGGCTTCAAACTCTCTGGCCATTTCTGTCCTCTTTCCTCCACTTTAATTTGACGGCGGTATGAGGGAGGAGGTGCTAGCTCAGCATCTCCTCAGCAGGGTAAAGAACACTCTGGTTAAATGAGGGAGGTAACAGCCACCGAAGCTTCCAGCAGAGAGCCGAGCCTGATGGAGGGTGACACAATACTCCATTAAGCACACGCACACAGTGCTTTATGGGTGACACAGGCCTGGCCGCAGCCTCCGTGGGCTAAAGTGCCACCATCAGACCTGCAAATCACAAGCCACCGAGACCAGCAGACCAGCAGACAGTCCAGCCTGCAATTATGTGGCAGCTTGTTCTCACTTTTAAAAAAAAAAAATCACGGTAAAATTACAGTAAATTACTCCCTACAGAGTGCATTCCTTTCACAGACATTCACTGTACCATGTTAACATTACATAGCAGTAAAATAGCAACTTTATACAGTCTGTATCGCAAGATTACTAGCTGTACTTTGCTGTACATTTACAGTAATAAGCTGTAATTAAAATACAGTAATATCCTGTATTTTAACTTGTAAAAGTAATGCAACTCAGTAGCCAGTAATTCACTGTAAATTTACATGAGAATGACTGAGCTTGAACTTTATAAGACCTATACATATATTTTTGAACATTAAAAGAAAGATAAACTGTAATAAAATAATCAAAATATAAAAGAACATATTTATGTTTCGCACTGTATATGCACAGACACCAGTATGGATATTAAAATGCAATTTGTGTTATTACAGAAAACAGATCAATACAGTTTTATACTGCAAAAAATAAGAGTTAAATATTGTGAAATGCTAATATTTAATAGCGTGTACAATCAGATCAGTTGGGTTTTATCTGATAACTGTACATTTTGTTTCACCATTCATGGATCATTTTCTTGCCAAGTAATAATGAAGGTCACTTTGCTGTAAGTGTGTGCTGGAACTAGGCCTTGTTCAGTGTCATCGGATATTAACGATGATTGACAAGTAATCCGATAATGATGCTTCAAAGGCGATAATCGCCATTTTGGAAAAAAAAAACTTACAGAGAACAAGGACTAACTGCACTTTGCTATGTATAATTTTACATAATATATACATGTAATGTTGCATTTCCCATTACTGTAAAAACAATTAGTTGTTATGGAGCATCAACAAGCTGTTAGACTACATTAGAGCAAATTTCTCAGCAGCTTACACTGTAAAAATAACATCTTAGCAAATGAAAACACCTTAAATCGAGTCAGTATATCTAACATATTATCAGATTATTCTATTTCTAAACATTTTTACTTTTTTTGTATCTGTCAATGGAATAAGATACTTACATGACAAAACTACCTAAAACAAGTAAAAATGTATAGAAATAAATTAAATAATCTCATAATATTCTGACATCTATTTCAAAATAAAAAAAAATTAAATACACTTAGATTTAAGATGTTTTTTGCAGTGTGTTGCAAAATTATATACTTTGCTTCCCACAAGTATCTATAGGTGAATTCTTGAGTGGCTTGACATGAACAAGAGGAAATTAATTAATTAATTAATAATTTGGGGGGGGGTTACAAAAATATTGGGCTAATTATTTTTTGTTAGACACCACCCAGGCCTAGAACTGGAACTACTTTTTTTTTTGAAAAATAAATCTTTAAAAATATGGTTCTATATAGCACTTACATTATTGTTACAAATCATCTTTGTACCTATGAAGAACCCTTTTTGCTAAAAGTACACTTTATACAGAATACATCCAGAGTAGTTTTATACTGTTTGTATGCACTGAGCAGTGATGCCAACATTAAATTTGTGTTTTTAATGTTTATCAACCTTAAATTTATATTCCTTAATAAGCCATTCATTGAAATCTTCTACAGGGATCCAATAGTGGTTCTACTGCAGCTCTAAAGAACCCTTTTGGTTTCATTTTGCATCATTAAGACTGTACAGCGCATGCAAGGAAGTCTTTAAAAATAAACCCACTAGAACCACAGAAGAAGTTTCAGTTCCCCTAAAAAACTTTTCAATGGCTGGTTCTTTGGTCAACAGATGGTCTACATAATGTAAAGGTTGTAGGAAGAGTGCTTAAATTGGCAAAGAACCTTTAGATTATATGATGAGTCTTTAAACCTTTTAGTTCTTCATACCCACACGTCTTTCTCCAGACATGGTTCAGTAGGAAAAGTGGTTCCTCCATGTCGTTGCTCAAAGAACCATTTGTGGAACCTTTTTCTTAAGAGGAATCACACTGTTCAGACTGAAATCACATTTCAGAAAGAAACCTGTGGATTTTTTCACTCTTTCCTTCATGAACATTGTTTACTGTAAAGTCAAGCGAGCTTACCTTCATAATGCCGTTCCAGTTGTCGCCGGTGGCCACCTGGAAGAGAGTGAGGAAGGCCATGCCGAAGTTCTCGAACGTAGCATGCCGGCTCATGCCCTCACACGGATAATCTTCATTACAAACTGCCAGAGACGCACAGAGATGAGGATTATTACTATATGTGTCGGGAAAAAATGTATCAGCATTTGACTTTTATTGTAAAAAACACCCTGAATAAGCAATACATTAATTTTATTTGATTCAAATTTGTATCTTTAAGCCTAAAGAACATCCTTCATTTTTATATGTCCAGTCAATGTAGTTATTTATTTTTCAGCATTAGGAAAAATTTAGAAACATATATTTAACAGAAAACTTTTTGGGCTGGCTGTTTGGGTGACACTGTATCACAACTGTGGGACTGCCTGGACTGGTAGCTTCCAGCTGCTGCTATGAGGCCTCTCAGTCCAGCTGCCTAAGCGACGCTACATCGCAGCTACGTGGCTGACTGGGCCGCGACTTGGACAACGCTGCACTGCAGCTATGAGGCTGTCAGGACTGGTGATGTTCGGCTGCTGGAAAATGCTACCCCTTCATGGCTAAGTACATTTTCGGCCTTTAAGGCTTCCAGGGCCGGCCTCTTGTGTGATGCACTGCTGTTGCGGTGGGCGACTTCGTCTGCGGCTAAAGACTCTTTCCGGGCTAGCTGTGGGACCTGTGGAGTGTGTGTGTGTGTGTGTGTGTGTGTGTGTCTGTGTGTTTTCTGTGTTCTGTATTGTTGATTATGTATTTTGTTACTTGTAAAGCATCCTTGAGCATGGAAAGAGCCAATATAAATGAAAGTGATGATGAAGATGGTGGCAATTATATAGCATTTAGTGTGTCCACTCTTCACCTTTATTCCAGCTTCCATTCTTTTCAGGAGACCCACTTTCAGTTCCTCAAAGAATCTGCAGACACACCTCCAAAGTTCAGTCTTAGAAGCTGGTTGATGATTTTCTGAAGTAATCAAACACATTCAGTGGTGTTGAGGTCTGGACTCTGGGGTGGTCAGTTCATCGTTCAGCTTCTTTGTCTGATGTGTCCGTCTCCTTTTCTCAGTGAGGTTCTTCTTAACAGCTACACATCCTTTCAGACCCACAGCGCTGAGTCGTCTTCTCACAGTGGAAGGATGGACAGAAACACCTGTGGATGTTTTCAGATCTGAAGCAGCTTGATTTTCTCCTCTCTCTCAGAGATGAAAGCTTTAAGTGCTGTTTATCTGATGGGGGCAGTTTTGGTGTCTACCAGGGTCTTCCAGGTGGTTGTTAGATGTTATTCTCCTTCCTTATGCGAGTGGAATATCTTATATCCAATGTCCACAGAAATATCTCCTAAAAATTGCATAACTTGTTCGTAGTGGCCATTTGACTGGAAAGTAAATATAAAAAGGGTGATCTCATTCTGCATAAATAAAATATGTGACTCCACCACAGTTCTGCTGTAAACTTTACTTAGTTTTGATGTAGGACTTTTTATTAGTGAGGAAATTAAATTTGAATCAAGTAAATTCAACATGTTACTTTTTTCAGTGCTTGTGAATGTAATGATAATTTACCTAGTTCCCCAAACAGCTCCACTCCCAGAGCAGCATAGATGAAGAAGAGTAACATGAAGAGGAGGCCCAAGTTCCCCACCTGAAAAGTATTCATAAACAGATCCATTTTAATATACCTACTGCCCACTTTTTAGAAACCCCTCCCTTGCCGGTGTACCATTGACCATAGCCCATCTGTTGATGCACTCTTTGTGTTAGCAACCCTCGAGCCCAGGGGTGCCCAGTTCTAGTCCTGGAGATCTACAATCCTGGTAGTTCAGCTCCAATATATTTGGCTCTTATATTCAAATAGTTTGAAGGCCTTCATTACTTCGATCAGGAATTAGGCACTCCTACTCAATACCTTCATCAATGGTCAGTTTCTGACCACAGAGCTGTTCCTGGCTGGATATTTTTGGGTGGTGGACCACTCTCAACCACACACTCTACCATATCAGTGTGACTGCTGCGCTGAGAATGGTCCAAATAATATCTCAAAAGCAGCCCTGTGTTCAGAAAGTGGACGATGAGTGTGACAGGGAGCGATTTGGGCTTGAAGAGAAGTAGAGAAGTGTTGTGTGCTGTACCTGAGGCAGTGCCTGAACCACAGTGTCCAGCAAAGCTCGCATCCCAGTAGCCATCTTCAACAGCTTCAGCACTGCAGGAGAGAGAGAGAGATTGGGTGAGCGGTGAAGGTGCAGTTGATGAGAACAGACAGGTGTGTGTGTGCATGCACATGAACTGTGTGTGTGTATATCTTAGTGAAAGTGAGAGAGAGTGCATGCTTGGAAGGATGTGGTGGAGTAAGAAGAGAACAGAGAGAGAGAGATTACGGATAGAGATGTAGAAGGCCCAACACCCCCTTCCCCCTCCCCACCACCACCACCACCACCACCATTACCAAGCTAGTTTGATTCCAGCCCTGCCAGCTAATGAGCAGTGCAGGAAAAGGTCAGGGCTAAATTTAAACCTACAGAGCCGCACTAATGCTAACGCTATCCGGGCAGCGCGGGACGCTGTTAGATCAAGATCAAGATCGAGAAGAACCTAATTGTCATCCCATCCATATACGCTAACGCAGTGATTCCCCCTGCTGCTCCTGGAGGCCCACTGCTCTGCACGTTTTAGAGCTTTCCATGCTCCTGACACACCTGATCCAACTAATCAGCTCATTAATAACCCTGACGCAGGAGCTTATTCCACTCAAAATGGCATTATATCCAATAGCAGGATGTGGACTCCACTTATTCTGCTGTGCGTACTTTTTAAAACTGGCACAGCAGAAATTACGTCCAATAACCACACGAAAAGACTGATTCATGAATGAAACGTATACATAAATAAATGTATTTATAACTCACACACCCACTTCCTCACTCACGGGTAAAGATTATTCACAAGGGGGCGCTATTATGACTTAAATAGTTTTTGTGTGCATCAGTGAAGGAGAGGAAACCGGTACATACCCACAAAAGCAGTATATGGCAAATGCACCCACTTCCTCACTCACGGCTAAAGATTATTCGCAAGGGGGCGCTATTATACAAGTATGGTTTGTGTGTATCACTGAAAGACAGAAAACCGGTACAAACCCAAACAGCAAAATTCTGCAAATGTGTCCACTTCCTCACTCATGGCTGAAGGTTATGCATAAGGGGGCAATATTATCATCCAAATAGTTTTTGTGTGCATCACTGAAAGAGAGGAAACCAGTACGAACCCACACCAGCAGGATCTGGCAAATGCACCCATTTTCTCATTCATGACTAAAGATTATTCACAAGGAGGCGCTATTATACAAGTAGCCACATCGGCACAATGGATATCAATATTGCATATTTTTATTTAACACAATCAAATAAAATATTTTTCGCTGTAACACTTTTATCAGACTAGCTGACTGTTTCTCTGTGTGTGAAATGCTGTGACTGTGTTGAGCTCCTAGTGAGCAATGCGGAGTGAGAACCCCCTGCTGTGAAAAACAATTCACACCTCTCCTCAAAGACAGCCATGCCAAGATAAAATGGACTACACATTTCTTCACATCAAAAAATAATAATAATAAACTGCCACAATAGAAAATATTAATAAAAACACAACAAAAATGCTTTCAAAAAAGTTGACTTGCTTGCTCACTTGACTCATATATTTCATCAATGGCATTGAAGGAAAAAAGGAAAACAGGCTTGGCAACTGGGAAAAGGAGACAAGTACTTTGGTGTCTGTACTTTTACTTTCACTACATTTCAAAGGACTTTTTACTCTAATACTTTCTGCATAATCTGGCATTTACACCATGTTCTCTTGGACAAAGTACATTGTAAGTGCCACACACTTCATTACTACACACCACTGGTGATAAATGCAGAGAACGAGGCTGTAATAATGTGCCCAGTGAGAGGGGGCAGGTTCAAGCCCCTTTAGCCCACCCATTCGGCTCTAACACACACCACTCTAACCTTATGCTCCCTCTAAAGAGCCCATAAACAGATCAATCACATCACTGACCCACGGCTGGGAGGAAATCTGCCTGGTCTGATATTTAGCCTGCTTTCATTGGGTAATGGGGCAGATGTGAGATTTACCAGCTGTGGAACTTAAGAGCTGATTACTGCACAGAGTGATGATCGTCCAGTGGAGAGGAGAAAATGAGAAAGTGAGAAGAGAGACAGAGAGAGAGAGAGAGAGAGAGAGAGAGAGAGAGACTGAGAGAGAGAGAGAGAGAGAGAGAGAGAGAGAGAGAGTGGCACTTGAAAACTGGCTATGCAAACATTTTCACAGCAGAGTTGAAGTGAATGTGATGTAGTTTGAGGAGATGGGTGGGTTTGCGGGGGTCTCAGGCTGTGCGGAAGCAGATTGCATGTGCACGTGTGTGTGTATCACTAACCACGGGCGATGCGCAGCACCCTCATGATGCGGATGATGGTGGGGTTTATGGGTAAAGCAGCGCTGATTTCAATCTCCTCCAGAGTGATGCCCATCACTGACAGCAGCACGATGGCCAGGTCCAGCTGATTCCACCTACACACAAACACACACACACACACACACACACACACACACACACACACACACACACACACACACATACACACAACATGTGACATTTATTATTCCATTACATACTACAGGCAAGACTCTCAGAGGCGCGACTGAGTCAAGACTGAGACCAGATTAAGGTTTTTAAGAATGTAAAAGCAAAAAGAAGAAAGTGGAAAAACTGAAATGCACTTATTGTTCATTGTACAAACATTATTATTCATTAATTATGATATATGGATGATTCTACTGAACTGGTTCAAAGTCAGAGTTGAAAGTGCATTTTGAACTTTTAACTGAGGTGGACTTTAGACTAAAATCCTTCTGCTTTGAGTGACCCTATACTTTAATGATGTTTATATCATTAAAATGATTGAACATTCCATTTTGCTACCACAAACAAAAACAAAACAAATAATAGAAAGTATCCTAAGATGATTTTGTGTGTATATGTATATATATATATATATATATATATATATATATATATATATATATACAGAGAGAGAGAGAGAGAGAGAGAGAGAGAGAGATTAATAGTCAATTAATCTCAGTTAATGCCCTGGGTTAAAATAGATCATAACAGAATCCTTAGAAATATCTAAGGTCTGAATATTTATTTTAAATGTGTACTGTGGGAATGCAACCAATTTGGTACATTTATAACATTATAACAGGTAAAATATAACATTAATTTATATAATTATTGTAACCTAAAAGTACTGTCATTAATATTATTATGTTTTATAATAATAATAGAGTAATTGGAGAAGGCGCAGAATCTGATGAGGGTTGGGGGGAAATTTTAAAATTATTGTAAAAGGTTTTAGAGTAAAAACAGTCGTTATAGCATTTAAGAAAAAAAAATGTTGATAGTATTATAGTAAATTGTATTTATATATAACATTTTACTTGAAAAATGTGTAATAATAAACCTCCCCGCTTCCTTCACTGACACACCTGGGCTGGATTTGGTAAGTGTTGCTCCAAAATGTTTGGCATGTAATGTATAAGCTGTTCTCACCACATGCAGTTATGGTGCCAACTTAGAGTTTATTTGAGTTCATTCCATCGTGTCTTTATTGGAGCGGTTGAGAGATTTCGTCTTCAGTTGATTCCAGGTTGAGCAGGCAGCTGGGGACTGTGCTTGTGGCTTGGGACCGATTAATCTCGCCCAATTACAGCAAAGACAATTAAGAGCGAACTTCATCTCAGATGCCCTCGATTAGCTAATTCTGGAAGGGAAATGTCAGAGTCTCTAATGACAGATCTCTGTCACAGGTGCCCTATTCACTACATAGTGCACTTCGGGAGCATGTAGTTGAAATAGTGCACTCGTACAGTCCCACAGTGCACTGCAATAGGTATTTTACAAACACTGTACCTTAGTGGACACAGAATATCCATAATGCACTGTGTTGTGTTTAATGAGTGATGAAATTCATTACTGTCCGAAACCATTTATTATTATAGTGTTCTATATAGTGTTCCAATGTAGGGAATAGTGATTAGGGGGGGCATTTCTGTTCCCTATAATAGTGTTCCATATAGTGTTCCAATGTAGGGAATAGTGATTAGGGGGGCCATTTCTGTTCCTTATAATAGTGTTCTATATAGTGTTCCAATGTAGGGAATAGTGATTAGGGGGGCCATTTCTGTTCCCTATAATAGTGTTCCATATAGTGATCCAATGTATTGAATAGTGATTAGGGGGGCCATTTCTGTTCCCTATAATGATGTAATGAAAGCGCTCACACGGTGTTTTAGGGCCACTAATAAAAATAAAAATAGTAGACTTTGAGAATAAAGTCGTAATATTTCGAGACAAAAGTCGCATTTTTAGAATAAAATTGATAATAATTACGACATTAAAGTGGGATATTACCAGAAAAGGTATGCACTATTAAAGCAAAGGCAGCGCCTCCTCGTGTTGAATGAGGGGCTTTGAGGAGTAAAACTTATACTTTCATATCGATTCACCCATAAAGAAACACTCAGTCTCCCTGTCTCTCCTGCACATCAGCACCAGCCTGTTATTAGTATAAGAACCGGCTGAAACGGCTGAGCAGGAAACTGTGTTTATCTAGAATAAAGAGCCAGACGGACTCGGAGGAAACTGTCTGTCTGTGTCGTTGAAGGAGAATCGCAGGCAGGGTCGTCTACACGGCTATCGGGGCTACATCTCCACACCATTCAAAGAGGGCATGAAGTTCACAGATAGTGAGAATGACGATCAAAATGATCCACCAAGAGACAGGAGTGAGTGGAGCTCCGGCGCCAGTACAGCAACCGAGACCCCATCGCAGCCCTCCTACAGTTAGCACTTAATCCTCGAAATATCGCGATTTTACTCTCGTAATTTTACGTCTTTAATCTCTAAATATTACGACTTTATTCTCAAAGTCTATTATTTTTATTTTTTATTAACAGCGGCCCTTAAACGCCATCATAGTTCTGTTTGCTCAGCAACGTTACTGTGGCTTTTACTCCAGAGCCCACCTGCCCCTGACGTCACATGAGGGGCGTTCCTGGGGCGTGTCTGCATCACAGAAATGCCCTCAAATGGTGCTGCAATTCGACCCTCCTCGATTAAATGGGCATTTCTGCTCCCTGTAATAGCAGTTAATGTAGTGTTCCAATGTAGGGAATAGTGACTGGGGGCCATTTCTGTTCTCTGTAATAGTGTTCTATATAGTGGTCCAATGTAGGGAACAGTGATAAAAAAAATCAATGCAGTTTAATCTCCACCTTTATACTTATGTATTTATAAACTCCAAAACATAACAATGGCAAAATCTATGACATGGCATAGTGCAGCACACCTGCTGTTGTGACCTAGTTAAGAGGTGTGGAGAATTACGCTGGTAAACAAGGAGGTGTGTGAAAGCGAGCTGGTGTCAGGCCTGACTGAGTCTGTGTAAAGAAGACAAAGTGTCGGGCAATACCAGCCTGCTCATTTTCCCTTTAACTGGGTCAGTGCTGCCCATTCTCATAAAGCTGCCCAATACAGAGCCCAAGATATTCAGCTGTATTATTCTGTGTCAATATTTGAGGTGATGAGGCTGAAAATGAGACTTTCTTATTTTATCTAACGTATCATTACCTTTAACTCATTAAAGGTAATGATACGTTATACGTGAGTGTTCATGTCTGTGCTGGTCAGCATGTGGAACTGCAGCTTTCTGTGAGCTACAATGTTTCCTATCACTGTATAAAAGAAGCTCCATGCTGCCTTTATTGTTGGATGCATTGAAGCCGCTGAAATCACAACTGAAACGCTCATTATTTAATCGGAGTAACAATAAAAAGTGTATAAAGTGTGAAGTGCATTCCTATTTGTTTGCTTTTTTAAAATGGTAAACAAAATAAGAATCTATGATTTTTCAGCTTCATTGGTCACATTCTTTACATATCGACGTGAATGCAACAACAGTATTCAGAAACCACATCGTAAATGGAGAACAGTGGATTAAAAGTCCATAAAAAATGGAGTTTTTGCAGAGAGTTAATGACACAGAGGAGCTCTATTAGACAAACAGAAACAGCAGTGAGACTACAGATAAATATATCACTCTCTCTCTATCTCTCTCTCTCTCTCTCTCTCTCTCTCTCTCTCCAGCTAGGCAGGTACATTCCATTAAAACCACTCAGGAACTAATGTTTCATCATAAATGTGAGAGCAGAACCAACATTTTGCCAATAATTCACCCTCCGGTGAGTCACAGAGCAAACAGAGGCAGCACTCAGCTGGAATCTCCTCCTAATTAATCAATTACGTCTATTAGACAGCCAGGAGAGAGAGAGAGAGAGAGAGAGAGAGAGAGAGAGAGAGAGAGAGAGAGAGAGAGAGAGAGAGAGGTGGAAAGAGCGGGGAGAGAGAGAGAGAGAGAGAGAGAGAGAGAGAGAGAGAGGTGGGAGAAATGGAATGATAAAGTGGTGGAAAGAGCCTTGAGAAAAAGTGAGAAAGACAGACAGGGAGAAAGGAGAGGGAGAAAAGAAAGGGTTGAAGCACAGAAAAGGAGACAATAAAAAGCAGAGAGAGGGAAAGAGAGAGAAAGAGCAGAGAGAGAAAAAGACTGATGGAGAGAGAGAAAAGGAGACAGAGAAATAGCGGTGGTGAGGTGGGGAGAAAGTGGGAGAGAGAGAATGATGGAGACGGGACAGAAAGAGAGAGAGTGGTGGAGAGAAGGTTGAGAGAAAGTGAGAAGGACAGATAGAGAGAGAGAGAGAGAGAGAGAGAGAGGAGGGAGAAAGGAAAAAAGACAGAGAGCTGAAACAAGTGCAATAAAAAGGGGAGAGGGAAAGAGAGAGAGAGGGCAGAGAGAGAAAAAGACTGATGTAAGAGAGAAAAGGAGAGGAAAGGGGAGAGAAAGAGAGAGAAAGACAGAGAGAGACACGAGCAATACAGAAAGAGAGAAAGAGAGATGGAGTAATAGAAAAGAAAATCAAATTTTGGAAGCATCTAAAAATGGCGCCCCCACATTCATATCATTATAAAGCTCTGCAATTCCAGGAACTGAACAAGGACAACAATCTCCTCACTCAGCTGGTCCTGAACGACACACTAACACTCACTAACACACACTCACACTCAACAGACTCAGCACCAGAAAAACGCAACAAATCTGATCAGAATCAACCGAAGTACTGCACATCTGAGAGAAAAGTACACAGACTATGGGCACAAACTCAACTCAAACGCAAACAAAATCAGACACTAAATATGTCATATGGCTTAAAACAGACAGTACACTCTGGCAGAGTACTTAAGCAATGACTAACCTAAAACTGAGACCCACCCTGATGAGGTACAGACTCAGTCAGCACACTCTGGCTATAGGGACCCACCCTAAAGAGAAACAGACAAAGTCAGCACAGTCTGGCTATAGATACTCACCCTGATGAGGTACAGACTCAGTCAGCACAGTCTGGCTATAGAGACCCACCCTGATGAGGTACAGACTCAGTCAGCACAGTCCGGCTATGGAGACCCACCCTGATGCGAGTACAGACTCAGTCAGCACAGTCTGGCTATAGAGATCCACCGTGACAAGGTACAGACTCATCCTGACGAGGTACAGTCAGCACAGTCTGGCTATAGAGACCCATCCTGACGAGCTACAGACTCAGTCAGCACAGTCTGGCTATAGAGACCCATCCTGATGAGATACAAACTCAGTCAGCACAGTCTGGCTATACAGACCCACCCTCACGAGATACAGACTCAGTCAGCACAGTCTGGCTATAGAGACCCACCCTCACGAGATACAGACTCAGTCAGCACAGTCTGGCTATAGAGACCCATCCTAACGAGATACAAACTCAGTCAGCACAGTCTGGCTATAAAGACCCACCCTGACGAGATACAGACTCAGTCGGCACAGTCTGGCTATAGAGACCCATCCTGACGAGCTACAGACTCAGTCAGCACACTCTGGCTATAGAGACCCATCCTGACGAGATACAGACTCAGTCAGCACACTCTGGCTATAGAGACCCACCCTGATGAGGTACAGACTCAGTCGGCACAGTCTGGCTATAGAGACCCATCCTGACGAGCTACAGACTCAGTCAGCACAGTCTGGCTATAGAGATCCACCCTGATGAGGTACAGACTCAGTCGGCACAGTCTGGCTATAGAGACTCACCCTGATGAGGTACAGACTCAGTCAGCACACTATAGCTATAGAGACTCACCCTGAAAAGATACAGACTCAGTCAGCACAGTCTGACTATAGAGACTCATCCTGAAAAGATACAGACTCAGTCAGCACAGTCTGGCTATAGAGACCCACCCTGATAGGGTACAGACAAAGTCAGCACAGTCTGGCTATAGAGACTCACCCTGATGAGGTACAGACTCAGTCGGCACAGTCTGGCTATAGAGACCCATCCTGACGAGCTACAGACTCAGTCAGCACAGTCTGGCTATAGAGATCCCACCCTGATGAGGTACAGACTCAGTCGGCACAGTCTGGCTATAGAGACTCACCCTGATGAGGTACAGACTCAGTCAGCACACTATAGCTATAGAGACTCACCCTGAAAAGATACAGACTCAGTCAGCACAGTCTGACTATAGAGACTCATCCTGAAAAGATACAGACTCAGTCAGCACAGTCTGGCTATAGAGACCCACCCTGATAGGGTACAGACAAAGTCAGCACAGTCTGGCTATAGAGACTCACCCTGATGAGGTACAGACTCAGTCGGCACAGTCTGGCTATAGAGACCCATCCTGACGAGCTACAGACTCAGTCAGCACAGTCTGGCTATAGAGACCCACCCTGATGAGGTACAGACTCAGTCGGCACAGTCTGGCTATAGAGACTCACCCTGATGAGGTACAGACTCAGTCAGCACACTATAGCTATAGAGACTCACCCTGAAAAGATACAGACTCAGTCAGCACAGTCTGACTATAGAGACTCACCCTGAAAAGATACAGACTCAGTCAGCACAGTCTGACTATAGAGACCCACCCTGATGAGGTACAGACAAAGTCAGCACAGTCTGGCTATAGAGACCCACCCTGATAGGGTACAGACAAAGTCAGCACAGTCTGGCTATAGAGACTCACCCTGATGAGGTACAGACTCACCCTGACGAGGTACAGTCAGCACACTCTGGCTATAGAGACACAGTCTGACGAGGTACAGACTCAGTCAGCACAGTCCGGCTATCGAGGCCCACCCTGACGAGGTATAGTCAGCACAGTCCAGCTATAGAGACCCACCCTGACGAGGTACAGTCAGCACAGTCCAGCTATAGAGCCCGTTCTGATGAGGTACAGACTCAGTCAGCACAGTCCGCCTATCGAGGCCCACCCTGACGAGGTATAGTCAGCACAGTCCAGCTATAGAGACCCACCCTGACGAGGTACAGTCAGCACAGTCCAGCTATAGAGCCCGTTCTGATGAGGTACAGACTCAGTCAGCACAGTCTGGCTAAAGTGACCCACCCTGACAAGGTACAGACAGTCCAACTATAGAGACCCACAGGCACAGGAGATCCTGGCTGCCTCAGGAAAAAAGACCATGCAGCAGTGCAAACTGAATAAAACAGACACTGAGCTGCACTTTCTGATAGAGTGCCTGAAGTTCTCTGGGATCCACAGAGAGCTCTTTAAAAAAATCAACAACAAACATCCAATATTTGTTGTTTGTCTCTCTAATACTGAGAAATCACTGTATTTATTAGGGAAACACAGAGCGAGCCGCACACTCACAGCTCAATACGTGCTGACCTGCCAGTGTGAGAGGTGCACTGAGTGACCATATCACACACACACTTCTTCTACTTCTCTATTTTTTATCAATTCTTTTATTATTTGTATTTTATCCCCTCTCTCTAAAATTACAACTCTGTTTTTTTAGACTTTTAGAATTTCTTAGAATATGTTCAGGTTTCAAATAGTGATTTCTCATAATTTTCATAGTAGTGGTAACAATTTATTTCATTTAAAACTCTCACACTCTGTAACCCATGCTTTGGAAATACAAATATAGCGTTATTTGCCAAAAATGCACCTTGAATTGAATTGAATTGAATTGGAGAGAGAGAGAGAAAAGTAGAGAAAGAGAGAGAGAGATAGAGAGAGTAAGAGAGAGAGAAAAGTGAGAGAAGAGACAGAGAGAGAGATAGAGAGGGAGTTTAGTGTGTGTGTGTGTGTGTGTGTGTGTGTGTGTGTGTGTTACCTGTCTTTAAAGAAGCGGCGGAAGCCGAATGCAATGAGCTTCAGGACGGCCTCGAGCACAAAGGTGCTGGTGAAGAAATAATTACAGTACTTGAGTGCAATCTCCAGGGACTGAGAGGAAGGCAAGAGAGACAGAGAGAGAGAGAGAGAGAGAGAGAGAGAGAGAGAGAGAGAGAGAGAGAGAGAGAGAGAAAGAGAGCACAATGGACATGTGAGCAAAGATATACCACTCCAGTAAAACGGTCTGTAACATTTACTTTAGAATTTACTTAAAGACTTTATAACACATGCATAAACATAACATTGAATGACACATTCATAAAGCAAAGCTTCTATATAAATATGAACAGCTAATTCCATTAATTACAAGATGTTTCATGAAGTAAATGACATTGATTATAAGGGCCTTTAAACTAATGCAACTTCTAACTGCTCCGTTATAACACTGTTATGAAGCATCATTCCAGAGATTTATAACTTATAAAGTTTTATAAGAACTTATGACACCTAGATAAGAACATTTCAGATCAATTATGCATATTGTATATGAGTTAAAGTGCAAAATTAAGCGTCTCTTAAGGAGACCTATGTAGCTGTAGACATTAACAACTAATTCTACTAACAAATATATAAATACCTGCATATGTGTATTCATCAAAATGGGAAAACAAGTACCAAACTTATCTAAAAGTTTGAAGGCATTGTTCAATAAAATCAAGAGGTCTAAAACATTAGTACTAAGTATTAAATTGTTAAACATTAAACATCAAGTCATTAATTAAACATTAGCAAATACGTGTTCATCAAGTCACAAGTACAGACAAGCACAATGTGTTAAAGCTAATAACACACAAACAATTATAATCATCCATGTCTTTATTGTGCACACCAGTTAAACATTCACTGTGCTGGTGGAAAAAAGTAAGTGAACCCCTGGATTTAATAACTGGTCGAACCTCCTTTGGCAGCAATAATCTCAAGCAAATGCTTGCAGTATACTGCTGTGGATAAGACCTGCACAACGTTCAAGAGGAATATTGGCTCACTCTTTCTTACAGAACCGGATGTCTCTATTGGGTTAAAGTCTGGGCTCTGACTGGGCCACTCAAGATGCAGATTTTATTGTTTTAAAGCCATTCTGTAGTAGATTTACTTTGATGTTTAGGGTCATTGTCTTTCTGCATTACCCAGCTTCTACTGAGCTTTAGCCAGCAAACAGCCACCCAACATGATCCTGTACACTCTTTAAAACGATGGTTCTTCAAGGGTCCTATAGTAAAGAAAATGAACACTCAAAGAACTCTTTGCATGATCAAAAGGTTCGTTGCATCTTGAAACAGTTCTTTGGACTGATGAAGAATGTATTGTAGATGGTTCTATATCAAACATTTTTAAAAGTGGGTCTATATAGCACCAAAAGGGGTTCTTGTATTGTTACAATGTCAAGGCTGTCACAATAGAAGAGCCCTTTTTGGTGCCATCTACAGCACATTCAGCCATGAAAAACAATTTCATCATGCAAAAAACCTTTTAACAATGCAAAGGGTTCTTTCAGTGTTCATAGTTCTATATAGAACCATTTTCTTTACTAAAGAACCCTTGAAGAACCGTCTTTTTTAAGTGTGTAGGATACCTTGCTAAACTTGGGAATTAATTTTTCACTCGATGATGGCAATCGGTCCAGTTCCAGAGGCAGCAAAGTAGCTCCAAATCATGATGCGACCTCCACCATGCTTTACTGTTGGGATGATGTTTTCATGTTGGTGTGCAGCACCCTTTTGATGCGATGCGTGGTGCTGTGTGTTCTACCCGTGCAATCCAACCTTAGTATCATCAGCCTATAAAAGATTTTGGAGTGTCAAGGTGCATCTTTGGCAAACTTCAGTAGTTTTTGGGAGAGCAACGGCTTCCTCCATGGCGTCCTGCCCTTACAAACATAATGTTTTTTCATTTGGTAGACTCATGAATAGAGATGTTAATTAGTTACAAAGATTATTTCAAGCGTTTAACTGTTACTCTAAGGTTCTTTACAGAACACTCTGCATTGTGCCTTTGAAGTGATCTTGACTGGCCACCAACTTCTAGGGTCAGTAGACATGGCACTTAATCATCTCCATTCATATACAATTTGTCTGACTGAAGATGAACTTTGTAACCCTTTCCAGCTTTATGCAAATGAGGTCTTCTGAGATCAGCAAGTCTTCAGAGATCTCTTTGGTTCACATCAGCAGATGCTTCTTGTGAATAGCAAACTCAGAATGCTTGAGTGGTCAAAGTAGCTGTGACCCAAACCTCCAATCTCATTTTATTGACTGGACTTCAGTTTTCTATCTCCTGACTCTAATTAGCTTTTAAAAGTCATTAGTCTAGGAGTTCACAGACCCTTTCCAACCTACACTGTGAATGTTTAAATGATGTATTCAATACAGACGAGAACAACACATTATTTTCTGTGTTATTAGTTTAAAAATGTTGTGTTTGCTTTAAATGAAGACTAGACCATATTTTAATATGACTTTACACATAAACGCAGGTAATTCCAAAGGGTTCACATGCTTTTTCCCACCACTGTATATTCAAATGCTTAAAGTTGGTGATACAGTTGGTGATACAGTGTCCAGCACGGGCAAGGAGAGGGCTTACATGAGGCTGGTTGTAGTGCTCCAGAGACATGGTCACCACATTAACACAGATGATGAAGGTGATGAAGAGGTCCAGGTAGTGACTGGTGCACAGTGTGTGGATCATCAGGCGGGCGTGGCTGTAGCTGGCGTAATACGGTAACTTATGGGCTTCTGAGAGACAATAGAGAGAACAGACCAGAGTTTGGATTGAACACAGTATATACAGTATATATTCATGTACAGTACTGTGCAAATGTCAAAGCCCACCCTTCATTTATTTCAGTTACAGTCTAAAATGTATTCCTTTTTCAGGAGATATTTCTCAAGAGATAAGAAAGGAGAAGGTCTAAGGAAAATATGTGAGTTAAAAAAAAAAGAAACATAGAGAATGGAACTCCTAACAACCATGGAAGACCAGGTAGACCACCAAAACTGCCCCCATCAGATAAACAAAATGACTCAAAAATGGTCACAAGCATGGCAGCCCAGTATTGGATGATAATACTTCATATAATTTGATGACAGATGCCTTAAAAAGAACTGGTGTATTGCTTAACCCCTTGCATGGGCCACTGGCCCAAAGTTTTATTACACACAGTTCTATAAGCTAAGAATAGCTCAGCCAGTTTGCACTGAAGTCCCTGTAGTTACTGATTAATAAGCCTTAGTATTTTAGTATTCTAAGCCTTGAAGCAGAGGTTTTCCAACAAAGTGATAGCAGCATGTTACAAACCCAGTATGCTTTGTAGGCCATCAGACTTCCATGCTTTGACATTTCACACAGATTCAGAGTCTGATTCCTGCCAGAAAATAAAAGCTTAACCCGTTAAAATCCCAGGCTTATTACATACTAAGGCTTGTTATTCAGTACCTACAGGGACTTTAGTGCAAACTGGCTGAGTTGTAGGGTATAGAAGTGTGTAATAAAACTGGACCTGGTCTAAAAAATGAAATGAAGCATGTACCCCCTGCTGCCATTGGGTTGTTTACATTGCCATGTCTATGCCATGGTCTCTGAAATACCAACACAGACCTAATTAAACGCAGAAGTTTTTCAAGCTTTTCACTCCATTTCAGTCATGGAGTTAGAATGTTTTTCCAGATCTGTTTCTGGTTAATTATCAAGTCACATATCTTTTTGAATCGTTTAAGGTTTGCAATCAAGTTGAAACCTTAAAAGAAATGAATGCAGTATATTCTGACATCTCCACACTGCAGTTTGATGAAAAGTTAAAGCTAAATTGAATAATAAAGGGTGATCTTTGACTTTAAAAATACAGAAATGTACATACTTCTACATGCATTTTAATATTGAACTTTGCAAATCTGTATTTTTCTAGCCAATGCTTGTGCTCAAACAAACATATGTTGGCAGCTGTTAAACATCTTCGATCAGGGGTAAGAAGAGCCATTCTGTCCATTCAATAAAAATCAAACCACCTTGGGAGCCACAACATTTTATGTCTATTTTATGACTAGACTTACTTTGCTCTGCTTTAAGCTTTAGCTCAGCTATAGCCATTTTCTCGCATCTCTGGCAGGAAACCTTTCCACAAGAGTAGAATATTTTCTTGTAAAAAGTCTCTTAACATTTGACTTTTTGCGAGGCTGAATTCAGAATGTAACTGCTGCACCATTTAAGGTGGAACAGAAAAATTGGAACAAGAAGCTGGCGAACGAGAATCTGACTACAGCTACGTGACTTTTTAGTGTTCAACAGTTTCTCGTTGCAGATTAAACATATCAGGAAACCATCGGGAGTGATTATAAATGTAAATAAGTCCATTCGTCTCCAAATTATCAATGTTTGTCTTAAATCTTTCTCTGTCTTTTTGTTAGCTACTAGCTAGGCGAGACTTGTCTGTGTTGCTATGGTGACCATCAGTCTGCGCGCCAACCTTCAGGGTTAAAGGGTGAATTAGCAGTTCTGCATTAACTCCAGTATTTTAAGACCATTTATTGCTAAAAACTGTGTTGAACGATCAGCAAAGCTTTATTTAATCTAATTCTGCTGTACAGGGCAGTAAAAGAGCCACATGTTTCCGACCCCTGGGCTAGATGTACATCAGTCTTTTGACTCTAACAACTTTGGAAGAGTGAACCTTAATTGCCTAATGTCCTTTAATTACTGTGGCTAATTTTTTATCAGTGAATCCAACTCTATCTCTGTCGCTCTCCCCCACCCTCCCTCTTACTCCGTCTCTTCTTCTCCATGCGGCGGAGTCTTTTCTCCTCTCTCCTCTTGGCCTCCTCCACCTCCTGGTGTTGCCGACACTTGTGGAAGTTCTCCACCACCACGCCTACGAACATGTTCAGCACGAAGAAACTGACGATGAGGAGGAAAGAGATGAAGTATAGCAGCATCCATGGGTTGTTGTTGATCATGGGCTAATGGAGGAACCAAGGAAGGAGAGAACAGGGGAAGGCAGGGGTGATGAAAAAGAAGGGAGAGAAAATAGAGGAGAGATTACTGTAGAATAGTGGACATGGTGGGGGGGGGTGTATTTGATCAACTGAGGTCAGGAAAGTAATTTTCTCAAAAAAGTAACGGCGGCAGATGATGACGGAAATTGGTCGAATTACAGCGAAATGAATTCGGGCATCTGTTATTCTGCTAGTTACCAGCACGGGGTGGAGCAGAGCAAAAGAAAGAAGGGAATCTAAATCAGCTCATTGTAAAACATGGGCGCGTTTAGCATGGACTGCTGGACGCCTGTTTCATTACTTTTAGGAGGTGCTGTGACCACAGGAGAGGCAGCTCAGTGGAGGAGAATTACACACACTGTTTAGTGAGGTTTCAGGGCATATAAATAGTCACCCCACCCCTGCACTGTTCCCAATATTTTATTTGATTTTATGCTTTCTTGTTTTGCTCTCTGGTCATGCATTGGTCACTCATTATGACTAACTGCAGTGTTTTGCAGGGAGGATTAACAGGTATAAGAAATGCATGGTGCTCACTCAGGCATTTAGGCGTTAGGTGGAGGTCCTGTACAAGTAAATGCATCATGTGAGCTATGATTGTACAGTCAGGGTCTCAAGGTCTCAAGTCACTGTGGTTTGAGCCTGTGTGGAATCTTGAGTCACTGGTGATTGGGTCCAAGTCAAGTCTTGAGTGACTGGAGTTCAAACCTGAGATAAGTCTTGAGTCTCTGGGTTTTGAACCCAAGTCAAGTCTCAAGTCACTGGTGTTTGAGTCCAAGTCAAGTCTCAAGTCACTGGGATTTGAGCCTGAGTTGAATCTCGAGTCACTGGTGTTTGAGTCCATGTCAAGTGTTGAGTCACTGGGGTTCAAGCCCTAGTTGAGTCCTGAGTCACTAGTGTTTGAGTCTGAGTCATGTCTTAAGTCATTGGGGTTCAAGTCAAGTGTTCAGTCACTGAGGTTTAAGCCGGAGTTGAGTCTTGAGTCACTGGTTTTTGAGTCCAAGTCAAGTCTTGAGTTGCTGGGGTTTGAGCCAGAGTTGAATCTCAAGTCACTGGGGTTCGAGTCCAAATCAAGTCTCAAATTACTGGGGTTAGAGTCTGAGACCAGTCTTGCGTCACTGGGGTTCGAATCCAAGTCATGTCTGAAATCACTGGGGTTTGACTATACGTTGAGTCTCAAGGCACTGTGTGCAAATCCAAGTCAAGTCTAAAGATACTGGGTACAAGCCTAAGGCAAGTCTTGAGTCATTGAGGTTATAGTCTGAGATGAGTCTTGAGTCAATGGGGTTCGAATTCAAGTCACGTCTGAAATCAGTGGGGTTTGACCATAAGTTGAGTCTCAAGGCACTGTGTGCAAGTCCAAGTCAAGTCTCAAGACACTGGGTACAGGCCCAAGACAAGTCTTGAGTCACTGGGGTTTGAGTCAGAATGGAATCTCAAGTTTCTGAGGTGCAATCCAAGTAGAGTCTGAGTCTCTGGGGTGTGAATCTGAGTCAAGTCTCGAGTCCATGGAATGCGAGCCCAAGTCGAGTCTCGAGTCTCTTGGATGTAGGCACTGCATTGTACACAAGTAAACCCTACTTAAAAAAGTAAAGCTTAAAACTTGTCTGGTTCAGCATGACTTCAAATAATGAGCCTTTCTTTATAGAAAACTCGTCAACCTAAAGGACAAAACTGGATGTGGTAAATGCAGCGTTTAGAAAGAGGCAAAATAATAGATAGAATAATAATCGATTGGCTGACGACTAAAGGTAAAATTAGCTATTATGCTATCAAGCACACTTGCTATCCAAACTAGTCATGCTAGTCAATCATTTCAAGTTGTTTTCCTTCTTTCCTTAAAACACCACATTTACTGAATGTATGGCTTTGTTCTGTTTATCAGACTGAAGCTTTTTCTATGATGAAAGTCTTGTTGTTTGAAGCCATATTGAACCTGAAGCTGCTGTAAGCAGGAGAACTCCATGACCGTATGACCATAGCAAAACTGACAGGCATAGTTATGAGTCACATCGCGAATCGGTACACATGCAACTCGAGCGTGACTTGTGTCCGAGTCCCCATCTCTGATATATTATCCTCCAAGACAGTAACAAAACAGAATAAGCATGTTTCCCAGGACATGCTGCCCATGATCTGTGCATAACTGGCCTCTCTATTCAGCAGAAAGTTTAGGATAATAAATGTTAAATTAATAAATGTTGAATACAGTGACATGCTTGTGGACGTTCTTAAAAAACACAGGCCAAAACAGACCAAAGTTTTGGGTTGAAGACTCTTGAGCCCTGTTGTGTTTTTCATGGCCGAGACTAAGCCCCTTGTTTTTGTGCTTGCGGCGGCGGAACGAGTGTTTGCACTCAGGATTGGATGTTTACAGACTTGTCGTTTTCTGTCGACGCCTTTGGATAATTTATAAGACAAAGAAAACAAATGGTTTATTGCTGGACTTCTTGAGACGTGGTCCACATTTGGAATCCTGTGTGTTGGGACTGGAGGCCGGTTTTTGGCTGATGTTTTGCTCCATGCTTGATTTATTTGCATTAAAGAATTACGGTCATCCTGAAATTAAAACTGACCACTTTATCAATGTCTTTTTTCATGTTAAGCATGATTCATCATGTCATATAATTTAAAAGATTTTCAATCTAAATTTATTCTAAAATGTCTTGCGATTTTCAGTACATCGTCATGCACCAGTGGACAGGGCAAAACAATATTACCATGTTTTACCCGACTTGTGAGGGCTAAAGACCATGAGGAGAGTTGAAGAAGGGCAGACTGTACCTGCTGGTCCACTCCCACTGCATCTAGGCCATGGTACATTATGTTAACCCAGCCATCCTTTGAAGCCAGTACAAAGAGGGACATCAGTGCCTGTGACGGGAAGAACATACACATAATGTGGTGAATGCATTAAAAAATATGAAGAGGAATTCGCTCCAAGTTGAAAAGCAAGCCCTACAGTTGCAGACTGTAGGGGTTACCTTTCAACAGACCCCAACAGCACACAAGGGCTTACCCACATTAGTTTAAGCCTCGCTCTCTCTTGCATGTTTGAATCAGGTAAATTTAATGCAGATATGTGACACGACACATACGCAACAGCATAGGAAAGCATGGAAAACGTTAAACGGCTGCAACTGAAAGTGACTAAAGCAACTCTGACTGACAGTCTTTGATGCTACATGAAAGGCCAGCTGTGGTGAAAACATAAATAACAAACTAACCTGGCCCAGATTGTCAAAGTTGTACTTGTGATGGACCCATTTGTAATTGGCGAGCAGGCAGTCGGACTTGTTGGTGATGTTTTTGACGTCCAGGCCCAGGCAGTAGAAGAACTTGCCTTTGAAAAGCTGCCGAGGCGAAACAGCACATATCGACATGTCATTCACAATCACACGCCACATTTTTTTTCCCCTAACAACCACGGAAGGTTTACTGGCGACGCCAGGAAACCGAAATGGACAAAACGTGAGAGATAAAGATGAGCAAGAAGAAGAAATGCTGGACAATGAAGATGCATGAGAAGAAAATGAACAAAAGAGCTGAGAGAAACCCAGAAGCATGAGCAACACTACAGATAAGGAGAGTGGAATCTGTCTGGGAGAGAAAGACAGGGAGAGATAAAGGGAATGGCCTGAGAGAAGGAGACTCGCTGGTGCACCTGAACCCCGAGGATGCCGAAGATGATGAAGAAAGCGCAGCAGATCAGCACGATGTTGCCGATGGGCTTCAGAGAGGTGATCAGAGTCTCCACCACCAGCTTGAGGCCTGGAGCCCGACTGATAACCCTGAGGAAAGAGAAAAGAAAATGAAAACTATTCCCAGGCTGAGAAACTAAACTGACCCCTATGCTGAAACTGCAAATGCAAAAACTATCAGAAATAAACAATTAGGGCTCCTAAATGGTGCAACCATCTAAATATTGGCCATATCATCAGGAGATCACAAGTTTGATCCCTGGTGATGCTACGGCTAAGAGTCTAAGACAGCACAATTGGCCTTGCTCTCTCTGGGTGGGTAGGATGGCCCCCCGGTCTCCCCCCATCGCTCAGCACGATGCTAGTCAGCGCAGATGTCTTTTAGTTGACGTAACAGAACTGGCGGTTGACGCTTTCTTCCGAGCGCCTTCAGCACAATGACGTTGCGTTCGGCAGTTCGAAAAGATGTGGTGGTGCTTCCCAGGTCTCGAAGGAAGCCTGTGCTAGCCTTCGCCCTCCTAGTGCTGGTGGTATTGTGTGACTGGGGGAGTCCTAACTAGTGGGTGGAACTGGAAATGACTAAATTGGGAAGAAAATTGGGAAAAAAATCCAACACACAAAAAAAAGAAATCAACAATTAGGGGCAAAAATTATAGCATCTGTTCCTTGCGTTTTAATTTTTTCTCAATTGAATAGAAATTAAATCTATACAGTGCAACATTTCTGTACTTTCTACTGCAGGGATTAAATTGCTAGCTAGCATTTGGCACTAAGTTAAATCAACCCAAAGTTCTGCCAGAAATCCATCCAGAAATGTTGGCTTTGTCCCACTTTAACTGGTTAAAATCTGCCCACTAAAATAGTTGGTGAGCATGCATGTCCATGTTGGTCAGTAAAATGGATCAGCATGTGGAACTGGAGCTTTCTGAGAGCTACTGGGTTTCCTATCACTGCACAAAAGAAGCTCCATGCTGCCTTTATTGTTGGATGCACTGTGATAGTATGGCACGCACCAGTCCCCAGGCCCTGGTGGCGGGGCCCAAAATTTGAGCGAGGACAAAGCTAAGCGAGGACTGCGGGGAGAGGACAACCGCGAGTGAGTGGGGGATGGCGCACAAATCCTGAACATGGCAGGAGGAGAACGTCAGCCGCCAGAGAGGGGACGACGACGACGGCCACGAGAGGCACGAAGGTGGGATGCGAGCCACCGGGCCCCGCCTCGTGTTCTGCAGCGAGGCCCCTTCACTACACCTCACATTCAACTTGGGTGGCCGAGCTGCGAAGCGGGGAGGCAGAGCAACAAGCTCTCGTTCCTTCTCAGCTCAGGTGCCTTTAAAAAGAGCTGAGAGGGAACAGAGAGAGAAGGACAAACAGCAACGAGAGACTGAAGACTACAGAGCTTCTCAAGTGAGAAAGCGACTGAAATGTCTCGTTTGAAGCTACTGGAAAGTGGTGAGCTTAGATTTGGTTTGGTTGTGAGTTGTTTTGTGTTTGTTTGGTGTGAAAATAAACTGAAATTGCTGCTGCAAACGTGAACTCTACCTCCAGCGTCCTTCATGAGCCCGGGGTAGCGCATCACATGCTACAGATGCACACGTTCAGAACACACTTCACACCATGTAAACTATGTTTAGATTTGTTTCATCAGAGAAACAATAAAATGCCACTGAAGTGTGAAGAATCAAGCCCATCCCACCTCCTTACCTGAGGGGGCGCAATGTGCGCAGAAGCCTGAGGACCCTGAGCACCCCCAGGATCTTGGCGCCACCCGCCATTGACACCACAATGTCAATCAGCGAGACAAACACCAGGAAACCGTCCAGAACGTTCCAGCTGCTCCTCAAGTACGCCTGCTCTCCAAGGTATAAACCCATAGACACCACCTGGAGACAGAAAAACAGAGAGACAGATAGGGAGAGAGAGAGAGAGACAGAATGAGAGAGAGAGAGAGAGAGAGAGAGAGAGAGAGAGAGAGAGAGAGAGAGAGACAGAATGAGAGAGAGAGAGATCTGTAAGCTCACTTATGCACAATTATCTAACAGCTAGTAGCTCATTTCAACGAGTGGACAGATTGTGTGGAAAGTGCCGATGCTAAACTTTCAATCTGCTTACTTTGTTAGCCCCCTTTTACCCTGTTCTTCAGTGGTCAGGACCCCCATGGACCCTCACAGAGCAGGTACTATTTGGGTGGTGGACCATTCTCAGCACTGCCATGACACTGATGTGGTGGTGGTGTGTTAGTGTGTGTTGTGCTGGTGCAAGTGGATCAGACACAGCAGTGCTGCTGGAGTTTTTAAACCTGTGTCCACTCACTGTCCACTCTATTAGACAATCCTACCTTGTTGGTCCACCTTGTAGATGTAAAGTCAGAGACGATAGCTCATCTGTTGTTGCACAGTTTGTGTCGGTCATCCTCTAGTCCTTCATCAGTGGTCACAGGATGCTGCCCACAGGACGCCGTCGGCTGGATATTTTGGTTCTTAGTCCAGCAGCAACACTGAGTTGTTCAGAAACTCCAGCAGCACTGCTGTGTCTGATCCAGTCATACCAGCGCAACACACACTAACACACCACCACCACCATGTCAGTGCTGAGAATGATCCATGACTCAAATAGTACCTGCTCTGTGAGGGTCCATGGGGGTCCTGACCACTGAAGAACAGGGTAACAAAGTACGCAGAGAAACAGATGGACTACAGTCTGTAACTGTAGAACTACAAAGTGCTCCTATATGGTCAGTGGAGCTGATAAAATGGACATTGAATGTAGATACAAAGAGCTGTTATTATGTAAATACATTGGATTCACACAGCATAAACGATTCCAATAACCTCAATCTCTTGGGTTAACTACGCACATGTTCCATAAACCGCTAATTGCTAATTAGCACGTTCAGTAATAGAGCAGAACCTGGATCCATATCACCACTAGACAAGATGATTTACACAGGAATGCATGTCAGCTGGACAGTACAATGTCATTACGGAAGCAAATCACGATAACATCGCGAGTGATGAATAAATCATGGCTCAGGGAGGGCGGGCAAACCGCTCGCGCTCAGGACGAAGCGAGCGAGCGTCTGAAGGTGAGCGAGTAATCCGAGGAGAAGTGGTATTACACGCTGTATGTAAGGTCTGACAGGTCCGTCCCTCATCTGCCCCGCTGCTTAATAATTGATTGGTTTGCAGAATGGGTGGCCTACATGTGCCAAGCGCCCTCAGCTGAATGGATGCAGCCTGCTGGAGACGCTGACTGTGCCTCTGAGAGGACACTGCCTCTAATTAATATCATTGCTTAATTGCTCATCATGAGAAAGATGGAGAGTACTCCCCCCAGCCTTGAGAGGATGAGGGGAGAGAGTGAACGTAGTAGGTTTTCCATTCACCAGTCCTTGCGAATTTTGAAAACGGAAAAAGCCTGTTTTTCAAAAAAACACTCAAATATCACAAAAAGGAATTTACGCTGGGAGAAGGTGGAAAAGTTCCAATACTGCTAAAGCAGAAATGCGAACAAAGGGTGATGGAAAAAGGTTTTTTGAATAAACGATGACGGATCAGGCCGCAAGTGAGAAATGATGGGCCCTACAAATGCCTAATCCAAAGCTTGTTTGAAAAACAGCTCTGCACAATTCGCTCCTTACGTCATAAATTTTCTCAGCATACATGTAGTGGATGGAAACATGACTTAATTCGCATGTTTCCGCCTAAATTTTGCAAATGTCATTTGCGAAACGTGTGAATGGAAACCCAGCCAGTGAAAATTAAATAACGAGGATGAGCAGTGACATTTAGGCTGCCTTTAGATTGTAAAACTCTCGTGCAACTAGTTACAAGTTGCATGCAACAGAGCAACCTGACAGATACAAAAAGCAAATCAAAATGAGTCAAAGTTGCATAAAACACAATTGAGCATTGCACTAGTTGACAAGACTAGTTAGTAAAGTTTTGTTTTTTGCATTCCAACCAAAGTGTAACGGTCCTAAACTGGTTAAAAAGGGGCTTAATTGAGTTCCTTTTCAACAGGCAGCATGTAGGCCTAATATACAGGCGTACACAAAAGTTTAAACAGTCAGATTATGTTTTGTTGCTGTATTCAGGCAGTCATTTGGTGAGTTTGTGGACTTCGGAAGGTTAAGCATGCAAACCTGGGAGTGACTGTCTTGCACGATTCCTTCAATTTGCTCTGCTTTGTGTATCATTCACCTGCAAGACGTGACAGAAGTCAAGAATGATGAGCTTTAATTCAGTGTTTTCAAACTCCAGGCTTGGAGCTGCTGCACTGTACAGTTTAGTGTTTCTCTCTGCTGTTCACACCTCGTTCAGCTCAAGAAGGGGTTAATTAGCTAATAATATCAGGTATTTTAACCAGGAAACCACAGTTATGCAAGACAGGGGTTTCAGGACTGGAGCTGAACTCTGAACTAACTGCACTAGCAAACTTACAGAATCGCGTCTGTCGAAACACGACGTCGTTTTCAGACCCACGACATTCAGTCTGATACCGGCTGTCTGCAGCTCCGTTAGGGGGACGACTGTTCATTTCTCAGCTGTTAACATCAGCTAAAGTTATCTAAAGGCTAACACTGTTCACATCTGTGTTAATTAGCTGATGTCGTTACCCTCCTATGATGCCAGAGTGTTTTCTCCTCTTTATGAAACACCATAGGATCCTTTACCCACCCTGACGTGAAGAGCCGGTGGGCTTCTGTGCTTTTAAATGCTTTGAGAGACTCCAGAATAGGGAGAGGGGCTGAGTATGATATAAATATAAATGTCAGGAAAACACAAATTTGGTAAATAGACAGTTTAAGTGGGATCAGGAGTTCAGGGGAAACTGTATGAGGATCACAGCCTATTTTTTCGACTTTCTCAAGGTAAAGTTGTTTCTCTTACAAAGAGGAGAGTAATTTTAGACATCTTTCACCTCCAGTTACATTCAAAGCCAGAAATTCGGTTCCAATTATGGCGGCCACAACAAAAGAACTTATGTGACTGAAACCCTAGGATATAGAACGATTGTCTTTACTAAAGAACCCTTGAAGAACCATCTTTTCTAAGAGCGCACTTATAAACACAAGTGAGGTATGAATTGAAAATTTAGAATCTGCACACACAATTTCTCAGCTTGAAGAGTCAGAAACTCTTCATATAAAATTACAGCATGCTTTTATCACCAGTGTAAAGGCCTAAAGAAGGAAGATGCAGAGTATATTCATGCGCAATGCCTTCAATTATAACTTTCATTTAGCATAAACAAGCATTCTAAGAACATTACCCACAGAGATACACAGAGCGACAACACTCTCAGTGATCTATCGGACAAATATCTCCATTTAAAAACCTGCGTTCATATAAGCAGATTAGCTGTGGGCTTTCAACACTGTTACCCAGAGATAATAACCCCGAATCATAAAATATGATTCCAAACCAGTGCCAATGAGTCTAACCGTCACAGAGCTGACACAGAACGAGCAAAACAACATCGATTTTATGACTAAAAGCCTGGCTGCTCAGTAAAAACCACAGAGACCCTGCCAAGACTGTTTACACTGAGACACTATACTTTTATGACAGTGTTGAAATCAACAGCATCATCGTGGCACACTGGGAGAACAAGAAAATCATAAATATCATAAATATCACATTTACCTTCAGCGTCATCTCAGCCACGAAGATAGCAGTGAAGATGTAATTAGAGATGGTGAGGAACAGCCTCTCCTACACAGAGAGAGAGAAACAGACAGAAAAAGGTGTGAGAGAAAGAGAGACAGACAGAGAGAGAGAGAGAGAGAGAAAGACAGAGAAAGAGAGGAAGAAAGAGTGAGAAATAAAGCAAAAGTGAAGAGAGAGAAAGTGGGAAGAGAGAAAGAACAAAAGAGAAGAGAAAGAGAGAACAAGCAAGAGAAGGAGAGAGAGATGAGAGAGAGATAAAGAGTGAGAGAGAAAAATGAGAGAGAAAAGGAGAGTGAGAGAAAGTGAAAGGAAGAGAAAGTAAGAACAAGCAAGACATGGATGAAGAAAGAGATGGACGAAGAGAAACAGAGACAGAGAGAAAGAGATAGATGAAGAGAGAGAGAGAAGAGAGAGAGAGAAAGCAAAAGAGAAGAGAGAAATTGGGGAGAGAGACAAAGAGCAAAAGAGAGGAGAAAAAGAGAGAGAAAAAAGATAGAGAAAAAGAAAGAGAGATAGATCGAGAAACAAAAGGGGGCGTAGAGTGAAAGAGCAAAAAAAGGAGAGAGAGAAAGGGGAGAGAGAGAAAGAGCAAAAGAGAAAAGAGAGAGAGAAAGTGGGGAGAGAGAAATCAAAAGAGAAGAGAAAGAGGTAGAGAGAGAAAGAGCAAAAAAGAAGAGAAAGAGCGAGAAAGAGCAAAAGAGATAAGAGAGAAAGGGGGAGAGAGAAAGAGTAAAATAGAAGAGAAAGAGAGAGAGAGAGAGAGAGAGAGAGAGAGAAAGAGTGAGAGAGATAGAGCAAAAGGGAAGAGAGAGAAAAAGAGAGAGAAAGAGCAAAATGGAAGAGAGAGAGAAAAAGAAGGGAGAGAGAAACAACAAAAGAGAAAAGAAAGAGAGAGAGAGAGAGAGAGAGAGAGAGAGGTCAAAGGTGCTGTATGAAATAAGATTATTATTATTATCACTACTACTATTATTATCATTATCACTACAGTCTTTATGTAGAGGAGCGCAATAGAAATAACATTTTCAATTCATGACCAATAACAACAGTGACAGAAAAGTCATTGACCCTTCAGAAACATTTAATTGTCTATATTTCACCAAAATGTCTGACACGAGATGCAAAACACTGACCTTTAAGCCTATCAAAGTTTTGAAAAATATGAATTTAATGATACATATCACATTGACTTTTTAATTACGTAAAAAAAATCAAAGCATTAAATGAACACATGTTGATATAGCAGAGCTGAATTTCAACTGGATCCGAAAGGAAACGTCCTTGAAACACTCTTCAGAATACTGAAGGGGTGCGGGGGGGGTGTATCTGTTGCCCTGCTGGACCAGTGTGAATGGCCTGTAAGTAGAGGTCCGCTACTCAACCTGAGCCCACCAGAGTCCCATGAAATACTGAGTTTTAGTTGATTTTTGATTTTTAATGTACTGCATTGAGCTCAGGCTTGTTTTTAAATGAGTGATTTCTTTATTTAGTAATTTGTTTATATTTAAAGGGATACGCCTATGTAAACTTTGTGCAGTCTTGTGCATACACTCTCCCTCTCTCTCTCTCTCTCTCTCTCTTTCTCTCTCTCTCTCTCTCTCCCTCTCTCTCTCTCTCCCTCTCTCTCTCTCTCCCTCTGTCTCTCTCTCTCTCTCTCTCTCTCTCTCTCTCTCCATAGCTCCAAATGGGAGGGCTGTAACTCAGCTATTTGTTGTTGAGAAGTTTGCAATGATTTCTGTGATACAGATTCAGTGTTCTTGCTGGCTGGTTGTACAACAGAATTATGCTGCTGATCATTTTATTTTTATCTTTTGTGCATTAAATACATGGACAGATTGCAATGTCCATTTGCTTTTTTAAATAATCTAAAATGTAGACTAGTAAAATGGGCTAGATCTGAGGTTGATCCACAGCCTAATGTAATTCTTTGCCCTCAAGATTTCATGTTAACTGTCTAAAAGTCAAGTAGATGTGCATTTGTGTGAATATTGAAATGACTTATTCTGCCAGTGCTTTTGCTCTTTTATATCAACCAAACCTAAAGGTGATCTGCGCAGATTTGCTTTCTCCAGATAAAAATCAAGTACAATCAGTTAATTATCATAGATGGGGTCTGAGCTTTGTGGGTTGGACCAGTGAATGTCAGAGGTGCCAATATTTGCTTCTATTCTCATGTATTCATCAAAAACAACGTTTCATTAAGCCTCATTCAACAAATAGTTCATGAGATCATAACGTTTTTGTGTATCCTACATCTCACCCAGACAAATTTTTAATTTTGTTGGTTGTAAGATCACATTAAAGATGGAAAAGAATAGACACGACTCAAAAAATACTGCAATTTCAGGCATGATGTATATAAAAATATTTATATTGTGACGTCAGGCCATGCCTGAGTTTCGTTTTTAGTTTAGTTTTAGTTATGATTCTGTTCTGTGGCTTTAATTTGGCCTTTTTGTTGTGGGGGCTCTTTATTTTTAGGACATTCAGGCTGAAAGCTAGCCTAGCTTGCGCTGTTCTGTGCTGAGTTAAACAAAGCTGAGTTAATGAATGGCATTTTAATGTCTCTGGTTTCTCCTAAGCACCTACACTACGATATTAAAAGGTAAACATTTCATAGCATTGAGATAAGCAAGTCAAACACAAAACGTCGTGAGGAGAGCTGGACCCACTAGAGTTATGTCTGTTTGCATACATTTGTTTTAGACCAATAACAAAGCACTTAACAGAACGCAAACCCATTTGGAGCTGAGACCGGCCCATTGGAGTTAAGTTCCTCCTATTTGGAGTTAGTCCAGCCTGCAGGAATACCTACTTGGGTCTTGGAGATCTACCTTCCTGCAGAGTCTAGTTCCAACCACAATCTACTCCTCAACCTCCTCAGAGGTCTCTGATTGGCTGGATCAGATGTGTTAGTGTTGAGTTAACAGGAGGCAGCATTTTTTAAGCAGGTTGGAAAGTAGATCTTCCCTAGGAGGCTTGGTGACCATTACAGTAGATATTTCCTCTTGCTTGTTCAGCCTTTATACAGGAGCAGCAGTAGCAAGAGGAACTTTATCACAGAGCGGCTAGCAGTCGGTCAGAGGATGTTGTTCTCTGCCAGGTATGATTCCACAACAATATACAGTAATAAATTCTGTTAGTGTACTCCAGATATGTAAAAGGGCAGTTTCTCCTAGCAACACATCACTCAATCTGGTCAGGGGCTCCGGTGTAGCAGTACTAGCCAGGCCTGGTCGGGTCAGCTCTCAAAGTTGTTGATACAGGTCAGGTTCAGGCTCGGGCTTCAGTTTCTCATTCATGCAGACCTCTACCTGCTTTTACTGAATGTATGTGTGAAGTAGACTTCATTGGTCAGGCTTACCAAACTGCCCTGGAGGATTTTGGGTCTCTCCAGAGCCACAGTGATGCAGTTCGAGAAGATGAAGGCTAGCACCACATAGTCAAAGAGCTTATGGGCTATAATAGACTGACATAGCAGCCTGAACCTAAGAGAGAGATAGAGAGAGAGGGAGAAAGACAGAAAGAAAGAGATATGATTAAAGTCGACCAGAAATGAAAACTGACCTCTTCTTACTTTGTTAGTTTATATTTCTTATCATATTAAGCTTCATCATATCAAAAATCTGCATTTTCCCATAATCCCCCACCATGGCAGCCTTAAAAGAATGCCTTCCTCATATGACACTGAATTGACAATTTCTTGCTTTCAAGACAGCAGAATTATCACTACCCTATTTAACTGCTAGTAAGACAGTGAGAAAAATTGGTTATAACCACAGTTATATATCTAGATTGCCAACAGAGGGCGTAATACAGAAGCTGCCACTTCAGTAATTTTTGCATGTTTTTAAACGTCTTTTTCTTTAAAATACACATCAAAATTAAATGTATGTGGTTTTAACATAATGCACCTTTCTTTTGAAATGATTTCATTCAATTTCTTTAGTTAATATAACACCAATTGTTGCTAGTTAATCTATGGGAATCACTATATTACATTAGCACCAAGCTAACTGAGGCTGACATTCACTTCTCCACTCTGGATTTAATTCCTAAATTGTCATTATTAGTGCTTTATTGTCAGGATTCCAGCATCCATGGCAGGTTGTAGTTGGTTGAGATGACATCTAGAGGGGAGCCCAAGAGTGATGAAGCGTGTGGAACTCAACGGCGGGGGCAACATAAAATACAATTAGCATACATGGTACACTAGAGGGCATTTGTGTAGGATATGGGCAGAAGGGGAAGGGCTCATGCCTTCTGGGGTGCCCTATCTGTGCATGTTAGCTATATTAGCTTTGTCACTCCAGTGCAAAACTACAGGCAAACTTCAGACTCCAAACATATCTTGGTAAGTAGGAAAACTGCATAAATTATTTTTTTTCTATTTATTTTTTTTTCCAAACTATCACTTTAAACTGCTGTTAATTCTGCGTTTCTCACTCGAATCCAGGCAGGTTGACCTTAATGGGTCAGCTCACGTGCGCACACTGTATATTTAAGGCACTTCTTTGTTTATTGACCTGAACGCTGTTTTCAAAAACAGTGGGCCGACACTCAGAGGGGGGCATTACTGTCTACTATCTCACTGACGCCAATCAATATCCTAATCAAGCCAGTCTCTAAAGCACTGGCAGACCATCACGACTATTGATCTGTTGTGTGTGTGAGATCAGAAGACGTTCGTATACCTGCGGCACAATCTGAGCCCTAAAAGGAAGCTTTCCGGTGTGTTATAGTCGAACTAAATGGCTTAACTTAGCCAAGACAGCCTGTCTGGATCCAGCAAGACTCTATTGAGTGTATATAAATAGCATCCCTTATTGTTAGCAAGTTCAATACTGTGTGAAACCAAATCCATGGGAGAAAATTACTCCTCTTACACTGCAGCAAGTTTATATATGGGTATTTTAAGTATGCAATGACATATCAATGTCATCAGCTCAGCTTTCTTTCTTGTTTCATGCTTTTTTAACCCTTTCAGATGTCCACACTGGGGTCATCCTTGTGTTTTCAGGGTTTTATAATCCCAGGGCCCTATATTGGCTTATTGAAATGTCTAGGAATCATCTCCATGTTCTCAGTGCCCTATGTACCTAGGGCCCTATGTTCCCAAGGCAGTTTGTTCCCAGGCTGTATATTCCTAAGGCCCCATGTGTGGGCATATGGTCTCATGGTCTCATGCTTTAAGCCCATGTTGGATGATGCACAAGAACGGAAATATATTTTGTGCCAAACACTGGTAAAGCCCTATGTACCCAGGGCTCCACGGTCCCAAGGCCATATATTCCCAAGGCCCTGTGTTCCTATTGCCTTATATTCCCAAGGCTCAGTGTTCCTATATTCACAAGGCTGTATAATCCCAACTCCCTATGTTCCTGAGGTCCAGTGTTCCCAAGGTGTCGTGTTTCCAGGGTCCCAATAGTTCCAGGTCCCAATGTTTCCTGGGGTAAGTTCTCGAGAGGCCCAATTTTCTTAGGGTCCTATGTTCCCAAGGCACTATGTTCCCAGGCTGTACACTCCTAAGGCTCCATGTTCCCAGGGCTCTATATTCCGAAGGGTCTGTGTTCCAAGGCTCTATATTCTAAAGGCCCTGTAATCCCGGGACTCTATTTTTCAAGGCCGTATGTTCTCAAGGCCTTATGTTCCTGGTGCCCTACATTCCCAAAGCCTCATATTTCTATGTTGATAAGGCCCTACGTTCCCAAGGCCCTAAGTTTCCAGGACCCTATTTTTCTAAGGCCCCTAGATTCCAAGTGCCTTATGTTCCCAGGGCTCTATATTCACAATGCTCTATATTTCCAAATCCGTATGTGTCCAAGGCCCTACATTCCCAAGTCCTTAAGCTTCCAGGGCCAAGAATGAACAAAACTTCACCATAGCTGAACACTGCCTTCAGCCATTTTACACAAAGGGATGTTGTACTCCCAAACATTAATCCATGAGTTGAAATGAAAAGAATTTGAACTGACCTGTTCTGTGGGGAGAAGAGGAAGACGGACCAGTCCTCCCGTGTCTCACACCAGTCTGGTCGGTACACCTCGACCATCTTCTGAATCCGGAAGCACAAACTCTGCACAGAGAAAATGATCTTCTATTGCATTCATATATCTTTCAGTTCGCTACTTTCCCCTGTTGATAATCAGTGACTGGTTCAGTTCAGGTCTATGCATTTGGGAAGGCGTGGATTACATGTCTCTGTAAACAAGGGCTTGGATTTATTCTGGAGCAATTAACGAAGGAGCAAATGCTTGGGAATGCATTTGAATAGCAAACCAGTTATGAAACAATACTATCATATGATTCTTATCCCTCCGGAGATGCCATAATGTTGTTCTTAATTGCTTACAAAGCGAGCGAGTGGCTGTAAATTAAAATGTGGGAGCCCGCTGCCATCTGTTAGCGCCTCTCCTCTTCGCTGCCATTAATTGGGCCAGCTTCATTGTTTGGTTTGATTGTTCATTGTGTGGAAATTGGTTGTGGTTCCGGAGCATCCCTCAAGAGATGAATCGGAGGCTACACTCGCCTTGCAAGCAGCGTCTTGGGGACAACATTACTCCTCCATATTATGTGAAATGGCTTCCATCATACTGCACACTGCTTTTTATAAAGGTATTGGCTGAAACTGGCTTGTATGAGCCAGGAATGGAAATAGACTTAAATATTTTCAATTAATATAATCAAATAACATATTTTTCTGTAACTTTTTTGTTTTCAGATGAACTAGAGTAGCGTTGGCTCTGTTTGTGAGCAATGCAATTACTTTATGTTGAGCTGCTAGCGGGCAATGAGGGGTGAAAGGGGATGGCTGAGAAACCCCCCGTCCCCCCCGCCGCTGTGATAACAATTCACAACTCTCCAGAAAGTTGGCCGTGCCGAGATAATGTGGCCATCACAACCGCAGCTTCCTTGACTTGCTTGCCCAACTATGATGAAATTAGCTTTGATTATGTAAATCATACAAAGCTACAAGAGTGGGGTTTCAGATAAAGTGGCCAGTGCAATTTAGTTGACTGTCCAATGATTTGCAGTCACAAACTTACATAATCGATTTCATCCTCCAGGTCCTCTCTGTCTTTGCGTGTGTTGACCTGCGGATACACCTCACTCAGAATTTGTTGCTGGACCGATGGTGTTTTCCCGTTGCAGTCCTGATGCTCGCCAACGTTGCCCAGTGCCCCTGAGAAGCTTTTCTTGCGCTGGCGGGGGTGCAGTGGGGGCAGGGGGGGTCCCGGCACCTGCAGCAGCTCAGGCAGCTCCAGCGAAAGAGCTCGACGGTCCCTCCGTGGGACAAATTGTCTAGATAGAAGAGGTGGGGGCAGGTGCGCAGGAGGAGGGGACAAAAGGGACTCCTGTTCATGGGAGTTGGGGCCACGGACCCTAAGGCTGCCCCCGCCCCCCACGGCCAGGCTCCTGGAGGGCCGGGCTAGGCTGTTCCAGCTGGATCTGCGGCTCCATGGTCCCTGGGGGGCTGGACGACCCCAGTTGTGGTAGAGAGTGCCTCGACCTGGACACTAAGAAAACACAAGGAGGGACACTGATTAAGAATCGTCCCACAGCAAAGCATCTTCCTTTCTGAATAACTCTAATGAGCTCATCTTTAACATCTAAACGATTTGTTTAGATTACGATTCTTTAGGATGTTATTCGGTGCATCATGAAATCTCAAATTTCACCACAATTTCATTCGATTTGATTATTTTTATGTTTTGATTTTTGTATCAGCTCATAATTGATTGAATATTATTGGGTCTATGACATTTAATTTCCTGAATCAATAAGTACCTGACACTTTAAAATGCCTCCTTCATGTGAATACATTTTCAGGTTATAAGTAAAGTTAAGTAAAATTTATTTTAAGCATTTTTGCCACACAAAATCTAAAGGTTTCAGGTGGTGCAACCGTCCAACCACATATGCAGACTAAGTAAAGTTACTCATATAAAATTCCATTTATATTTTAAACATTTAACATCTTAACAGGTCAAAAAATAGGGCAGGTTTGAAAGTATTGAACTGAAAAACGTTTGCATAAATTCTGATTTCCTTAAATGTCACATGGCATAACCGACAACAAAAGACTTTAATTCTGACATGCTTTCATGAAAGAGTGGGCTGGGTGTTGCATCATAAAGTAGACCCTGAGTGACCTTCATGGTGCAATGCCAGGGTCAGTAGTGCTTTCATAAATATATAAAAAATTGGTCATTTCTGAGTCATGATTAGGCTGGTTCAGTTTAGGTGGTGTGACCTCAGGACAACAATGAAAATGTGTTATTATTATAATAATATTTATTTGAAAAAAAAACAAAAACATACATATAAACATGTGTTTAAGGACGAAGGTTTATACAGGAGGTCCAAGTACAAAGTGTGTATCATATCTCATATTACACTGCCACTTTGTTTATTCATCCATAAATGTCAAATTGTTAAAGGTAAACTGTACAAACGTTAACATTTATTTCTACAGTCCATATTCAGTAGTTCATTCACTGGAGGACAGACACCACTGCATTGCCTCCTGCATAGTAGTCATGCAATTACTTTGTATTTTTTTACTGCACATTACTCTTATTGTTTATTGTTTTAGTATATTTTTTTATTATTTATCTCTACTTTCTTTTAATTTCCTGTTCATTTTGCTCTTATTATGCTACTGTGCTTTGTACTTCTCCAATAGAAGAATTTACCTCTGGGAAATAACTTTACAATATAATATACGTTATTTATGTACGACTGCATCACATACATTTTCTGGAGGGTAAAAATGAGGATACCGTTTAAAAATATTTGACCATTAAAAAGCTATAATACATTTAATAGATTTCTGCAGATATAAAAATGGACATCAAGTCCATTTTAAAAACATTAAAATGATCATTCTGAAAGCATCATTTGTCATAACCCTATTACAGTTGATTATAATCGATTTTAATATTCAAAAGTCAGTTGAATGATGCACTGAGGCATTTTTACACCCCAATTATTGCACTTTCAAACCAGGAAAATAACTGTTGAGCTTATGATAATAAATTGTTCTCAGTTTTTCAAGTGTCTGCTCAACAACCTTGCAGTGAAAACAGTTCTACTTGCACGAACCCCATCAACTGCAGGCTTATTAATACATTTTTATTGTATAATCCATAATCCAGTAACTGCTGTGAATTATTTGGTAACTACAATGTAAATTACATAGGTATGAGAGTGAGGAACTGAACTGTGAACCCACACGAGCCCTTTTCTATTAAGAGGTTAAAAAGCCGTCCTAAGAAAAACATCCCGCTTTATTAATTATGAACGTTTTAAAACAGAAAAAAAAAAGATTGTTGAGCTTATTATAATAAGTTGTTCTCAGCTTTTTGAGTGCACGCTCGACGACCTTCTGTGCGTATGCTAATGCTGTGCTTGGTTGATGGCTAGTTATAGCCCTCTAAGTGCTACGTAAGTGTCCTATTAATGGTGCGCTAAATGCTAATACATGCAGAGCTGATGGCTAATTATTGGGTTCTTTTGTGCTGGTTTAAGCGATTTGCGGGGCTGAAGTGCTGTGAGATACCCTCCTTGTTCTCGGAGAGAGGAGGCATTTGTTCCACTGAGTATCAGCACTCACCAGTGCTCTCTGCTCCAGATTAGCCCTCCCCAGGGAGCTAACGCTGCTCTTGCGCGAGCCCAGAGCAAAGCTTAGCCTTTCTGCGGGGTACACGCCCAGGGCGTTGGGCATAGGAGCAAGATCCAGATGTCCGTTAGGGGTCAGGGTGCAGATTTTGGGATCTGGGTGAGAAATAAAAATGGCCAAGTTATTGTATGTCCATGTCTGTTAGCATTAGCTCATGCGCTCACTTACCATAGCAGCCTTGTCTATCATGGAGAGAAAAGTGTGGCCTAAAGAAACATAAGCAGGCCCAGATTAAGCCTAATATGAAGAAGATATTGTTGTGCTAAAGACACGAACTACTCCCAGATAAATGCTGCATATATATGTTGGTTTTGACACAAAACGGTTGCAGTATTTTGTTACGCGGTGGACAGCGGCTGGGTATTATAATATCTAAGTCTTCCAAAAAAATCATCATCTCTTTTATTTCATTGATGAAAGTTGAGAAAATTGAACTTCTGACAGATGTGGTAAATAGCCACCACCACTGAATTTGTCATCAGTGATCCACAGAAAACAATGTAATATCCAGTTTGCCATTGACTGTCTACCATAATGGCATAAATGCAGAATAAGCCATAAGCATATCATGGAGAAAAAGCATTAATGATCTAAAGAAACAGAATCAGATGACCACATGACCTCCAGTGAACCGCACCTACAGCTGCCTCTCACAGGAATGGACATGACCAGGATACAGATAGTTCTGTGTTTTGATTAGTAAGCGTACTGTGCCATTCCGCAATGCCCGGAGGAAAAATGCCTTCAGGCAGAAGAAAAACAGTCCCAGACTAAGCCTAGCATAGAGAAAAGAGTGTACTTTGGTTATGTAAACAGAAGAAGGCTCAGATTAAGCACACAGAAAAAGCATTCTTGTGCTAAAGGAACAGAAGCAAGTCCAAACTGGGCCTAGCATGGAGCAAAAAGTATTCTTAGTCTAAATAAACCAGAAATAGGCCTAGATTAAACCTAGCATGATGGAAAAAAAGTATTTTTGATCTAAAGAAACCAGACAAAGCCCTAGATGAAGGCTAGCATGGAGCAAAAATTATCCTTGGCCTAAGGAAACCAGAAATTGGCCTAGACTAAGAATAGCATGGAGCAAAAGGTATTCTTGGTCTAACTAAAAGATATAGGCCTAGACTGAGCCTAGCATGGAGGAAAAGGTATTTTTGGCATAAAGAAACTAGAAATAGGTCTAGACTAAGCCTAGCATGGTGGAAAAGGTATTCCTGGCATAAAGGAACCAGAAATAGGCCTAGATTAAGCCTAGCATGGTGTAAAAGGTATTCCTGGCATAAAGGAACCAGAAATAGGCCTAGATTAAGCCTAGCATGGTGGAAAAGGTATTCCTGGCATAAAGGAACCAGAAATAGGCCTAGATTAAGCCTAGCATGGTGGAAAAGGTATTCCTGGCATAAAGGAACCAGAAATAGGCCTAGATTAAGCCTGGCATAGAAGAAAAAGTGTTCTTTGTCTAAGGAAACCACAAATACGCTTAGACTAAAAGCAGCATGAAGAAAGGAAGTATTCCTGGGCTAAAGTAACAGAAGCAGGCTAAGTCTAAGCCTAGCGTGGAGGAAAAAGTAGTATTTGTCTAAAGCCCAGACTAAGAAACCCAAACAATGAGAAACAGAGTTTCCTCTTTATGAAACAGAATCAGAAAACCAGGTTTTTCTGCCAAGCCCATTAAAATTTCATGCTTTCTGGAACGAATGAACCTCCTCTGATGCCAAGCTACAATGGTGGAGCTTGTAAGTTTGTCTTCCGTCAGCAGGGAGTTGGTAAGGAGGTCTGCGTATGCATGCATCATTCATTGTGTCATCTCGCAGGGTGCCAAGCTGACTTCTGTAACTGTCCTGTCTTTAAACTCATGCCAGTACTAATTACACATGCTTCAAATAGTCCAAACTTTATGCGTGCCCCTCACCCGTTAATCGCTGACTGATGCAATTCGAAGAAATGTATAATTAATTCGGCAAAAAAAAAGAAAAGAGACAGAGAGAAATGCTAGGCTAAAGTTTGTATTCTAACAGATGGAGATGCTCCCTGCTTAGGATGCAGCTAAGCTCAGGGACAGCCGCAGCATGTGTCTGAGACTCCGCGTTATCAGAGTACACGCTCAGAGCGATGAGAGCAAATCTCCGGCCAATCTGCTGCTCCGCACCTGACAGCTGGAGAGGATCCTTCTCTTTTTCGGTTTCGTCAAAGTTGCATGAGGACCTGTCGTCATCCGAGTAGGACCGGTTAGCATCTCCCTGTTTTGAGGGACAGAGAAAGAAGAGAGGTGGGAAGACAGAGAAGGAGCCAGAGAAAGAAAAAAGAGAGCGAGAGAGAGAGAGAGAGAGAGAGAGGGAGAGAGAGAGAGAGATGGCATACATAAGGGCCATGGGAAGGAACTGTAAGTCAGGGATGCTGATGTTTTACACAGCATTTGGGTACTGAATGCTTTCCGGAGTGAACACACTGTTAAAAGATGCACTGACAGAACAGACCAAACTACATCATACATGCAACATGCGAATGTCTAATATGTCTAATATTAGAGCAGCAGGGCTCCCGCGGGCCTTGAGCTCGGGTCTCCTGTGTGTGAAGCAAGTGATTCATCCATTCTGCTAAAATGTTTCAACCGTGATCATTCTTAGGCCCATTTCACGCCAGATGCAACGTGACGTTTTAATCCAGAACCACTCCCCAGTGCTTGTTATTTCACACCGGATACGACAAACATGCGTAATGCAGCAAGAGCGGCTGTTGTGTTGCGTTTTTACGCAGCATAAATATCTGTTTTATCCGTTTATTACTCATATAAACTTTATGTGGATGACATAAAGAGATCAACTGCCGTGACTGTTGCTGGCTTTCCTTACCAGGTGATGTAGCTCTATATGAAGAGGAGGAGACGCCTGTGTGTTCACAACTTTAACCTACTCAAGTGATTTCAGTCAACCTGTCAAAGAGTTAAAACTAGATTTGTTGATTTATTTATTAGCCTACATTGTATATTATAGCATAGACACTGCATATCGTTACTGTTTCCACATAGAAACTGCTGGAATGCCGTGTGCAGCCAGCGTCAGAAATAGACCCAAAGCGTATTTTACCACGGTTACCGCGTCTGGTGTGAAATGGGCTTCACTCTCTGTGTTGTGTGTAATGTGTGAAGCAGTTGGCGACTGTTATAACAGTATCACCATTAGGAGCTTATTAATTGTGTATATATATACACACACCAATCAGGCATAACATTATGACCACCTCCTTGTTTCTACACTCACTGTCCATTTTATCAGCTCCACTTACTATACAGGTGCACTTTGTAGTTCTACAGTTACAGACTGTAGTCCATCTGTTTCTCTGATACTTTGTTAGCCCCCTTTTACCCTGTTCTTCAGTGGTCAGGACCCCCATGGACCCTCACAGAGCAGGTACTATTTGGGTGGTGGATCATTCTCAGCACAGCAGTAACACTGACGTGGTGATGGTGTGTTAGTGTGTGTTGTGCTGGTGCGAGTGGATCAGACACAGCAGTGCTGCTGGAGTTTTGAAAACACAGTGCAGAAGATCCAGTGCACTCAAAACACAAAGCACCAGAATAAGTAAAGTACAATTGATGTACCACTGCGGATACACACTTAAAATGATGGTTCTTCAGGGGTTCCTCAGTAAAGAAAATGGTTCTATATAGAACCATGAACACTCAAAAAACTCTTCGCATGAAAAGGTTTTTCAGATTGAAGGACAATACACTGTAGACGGTTCTATATAGAACCTTTATGAAAAGGGTTCTCTGTGGCACCAAAAAGGGTTCTACTACTGTAACAAACTTGATATTGTAACAATAGTGGAACCCTTTTTGGTGCCATATAGAACCATTTTAAAAAGGTTCTATATAGAACCTTCTACAGCACTCTGCGCAATCTGCAATCTAAAGAATGCTTTCATGATGCAAAGAACACTTTAATCATGCAATGATATGTGTTCATGGATCTATATAGAACCATTTTCTTTACTAAAGAACCCTTGAAGAACCACAGTTTTTAAGAGTGTATGGGAAACATCTAGTGCACTGCATTGTTTGGTTTGAAGATACAGATGTTAGTAAGTTCTTCTCATGTATGCAGTGAAACTCAGTGGTTATAGCAAAGTGGTGGTAGGACGTCTACAGTGTTCATGATGCCTAAAGTGTTTATGTGACAGAATAAAAAAAAAATAAAAAAAAAACAGTGAAGCAGTTGTGAAAGTAGGGGGCGCTGCAGCACCCTCAGCACCCCACTACTGCCCGACTGCCTGGCATACATTCAGGAAAAGTCACTAAACAGCCATGAGCGATCTTTAATGGGCATGTCACTCTTTGTGACCTTCTCATGGAGATCAGTCTCGCCTTTGGCCCAGTTCCCCACTCTCCACGTCTCAGATATAGACCACAACCTGGAAGCCCACTTTTCTGCTGTCTCTGGGGAGATAACCTACTACTGCAGTCTGCCTACCTGCCTGTGTATCCCAATTTAGAGGCCCGTGTGTGTGTGTCGAAAAATAAATCCCGCCATCAGACGCCTCCTGAGAGCTCTCAGGAAAGAGCTCAGCCAGTACGAGAAAGGGATAAAAGCTAATGACCCCTGCGTTAACCTTCTTGGCTTGCTGTGCAACAATAAAAGAGATCTAATAGATGGAAATGGATGTGAATGAATCCCATCCATTCTGTAAAAAAAAAACAACTTAATTCAGAATGCATTCTTACAATGTTCACCTGACAGAGCGCCATTCTAGGGGGGTTTCTTACACTCTCCCAAATTGGGGTTATTTTCACTGAAAGTGCACCTAGGCATGGACAGTAAAGGGCATGACCACAGCAATACGGACAGGGAAGATGCACATGTAAGATTAGAAAATAAAACTTTTTTCAAATACTCATTCAGAGTCCTGAGTCTTAGGTCTGGAGTCCCAGTTGAGTCGCAAGTCAGTTAAGCGCGAGTCCAAGTCGAATCAATAGTCAGTCAACATGTTACTCAAGTGCAATTTGAGCCCGAGTACCCATCTCTGCCTCTAGTCAACACCTGGCATTGTGCATCTGGATCTTAGGTTTGCATATCACTGTTGTCAGAACTAAATCTCCAAAATGGTAACTTTACAGGAGAAGGAAAAAACATACTTTACTTTTAATGTAAATCAATGGAACCAGACTTTTTTCCAAGTAATTTTGGGCCGTTTCTTTTGGTCCATTCATCATGAAATTTACACACAATGTAAAGGGCAACAGTCATTTTCAAATTATGTCAAAAACTGAAAAATGACAAAAATGGAGATAAAAGGTTTTGTTCTGACAGCAGCGATATGTGCTTGAGTCCCTCCCATTCAACTGACAATGCTATTCTAAGCTTGTGTGCATGCAAAAGGGGCATCTGGACACTTCTGGGCATATAGTATATGTAACCAAGTTTATATGCTCTACACCAATTATAAGATCATTCTATGAGCTGTAAAGGCTAATACATACATATAATGCAAACGTGCCCTATAGGTACTTGGCCCTATACCCCGGACAGTGCATATCAACCCAGTACCAAGAAGCCCTGACGTGTACCTCGGCCTGGAAGCCCTCCACCAAAATGGCCACCAACAGGTTGAACAGGACGTAGTTCCCGAAGGTCATAAGGGCCACGAAATAGAGAGCAGCGAGGGGGGAGGTAGAGGCCATGCCATTATACAGCACCATGTTCCAGTCCTCCTGAGTCAGGATCTACACAAACAAAAGCACATATACACTTATCAAAAACGTACATATATACTTATTTAATACTTATATGACAGAAAAACCAAAACACCCAAATGGTTGCACATTCATTCATTCATTCCTCATCTAACCCACTCATCCTCTTGGGTCAAAGGGGGTGCTGGAGGCTACTGCGCCATAGACAAGTTTGCATATTTTGAAAAAATCAATTAATGGTAATAACTGACTTGTGGACTACAGTTGCTTATTAGGTTGAACAGAATTTTTTCCAACATTCTGTTAAACTTGTCAGACCTGGCATCATTTGCTACACTCTTAAAAAAGATGGTTCTTCAGAGGTCCTTTTTAAAAAAATGGTTCTTTATCGAACCATGAATACTTAAAGAAACCTTTACTTGATTAATGGTTCTTTGCATGATGAAAGCATTCTTCAGATTGATGGATAAAGTGTTTTGTATGGTTCTGGAACCTTTCTTGAAAAGGGCTCTATATAGCACCAAAAAGGGTTTTTCCATTGACTGGCTTGACATCAGAACAATAGAAGAACCCTTTGTAGTGCTATATAGAACCATTTTCAAAATGGTGCTATATAGCTATCTATAGCACATTCTCCATCAATCTAAAGAGCCCTTCAATGATGCAAAGAGCCCTTTTAATCATGCAAAGGGTTCTTTGAGCGTTCAGAGTTCTATATAGAACCATTTTCGGTAACACTTTCTATGAATGTCGCATTTGTAAGCATCTATAAACACATTTATAACGTTATAATGTATTCATAATTTATAACATGGTTATAAATATTTATAAAGAAGAATTACACTGAATTACACTTTATAGCCATGTTTATTATACATTATGAATTGTTAATATAATGCATTATAAGTAGTGTTAATAACATGTTATAATGTCAGTGCCAAAGAAGTCAGTCCCAGCTTGGAGACTGCAAAGTAAAGACAAATACCAAGCTAACGGTGGTGAACATTACCTTTCCCACATTGGGTAAAACACTGATGGCAGCACTAGTTTAAACTCTGACATTTGAAGCCTGTAATGTGCTTTACTGTGTATGTTTTAGTGTTTCAGTAAATCCTTCAGTAAATACTTCAACTTGAAGCCTCACTCTGGAACACTGGAGGAGGCTTTAGTACAGTACGCTTCACTTTACTTAGAGCGGACAAATACGACTTATGAGCTCTTATAATTTGTTATGATCAGTACTTATAATGTATTATGTTAACAATTCATAATGCATAATAAGCATGGCTATAACGTATAATGCATTTTTATAAATATTTATAGCTAGGTTTATAATGTCTTATGAATGCATTATAACATGTTATGAATGTGTTTATAGATGCTTACAAAGGTGACATTCATAGAAAGTGTTACCCCATTTTCTTTATTAAAGCAGCGATATGCAGGTCAATTAGTGCTCTTCTATTCTGTGATTCTGCCGTTATTGTGAAGTACTCATACCTGAAACACGGTCACGATAGCCCAGAGCAGAGAGTCAAAGTTCTTCCGGTCTGGCACTGTATCTCCAGCCTCAGTCTTCAGACTGAACTTGCAGCCAAATATGTGCATCCCCAGGATACTGTTCAAACAAGACACTGGAGTATTATTTAGTTCATACTCCCCCATAGATTTCAGTACACTTGAGTTCTATTTGTATGGCACTTTTGACAATAGCTGTTGCCTCAAAGCAGCTTTCAAGAAATGTTGATGCAGCCCCCTAATGAGCACCACAGAGGGAGACCATGTCAGATTTTTTTTTATATAAGAACATGATGAAGAAACACTGAGATGAACTGAGACTGGAAAGAAAAAAAATTCCCTAAGAGCATAATGAGATACCACTGAGAGGAGCCGAGACTCAACAGGAAAAACTCCCTAAGAGTGTGAGGAATCAAGACTCAAAGAAAAGCTCCCTAATGGTACGTGTCCACTTGCAACCTCACCTGCCACATTTTATGCATTTCAATGTAGAGCTCTGATGCATCGCATGGTGCATGATGCTTTGCGGTGCTGTGAAACAAATGAATGCGGCCACCACATCATGTTTAGCCACTGGTTAACAGAACTTTCTCTTTCACAACAAAGGATCTTTTTCTCTTCTTTCAATCCATGACAATTAACATAATAACAAAAATATCTTGATTTATACAGAACTGTTGACTGAGAGTTTGGAAATAAGATATTCACTTGGATGAAGTTTACACAGTTTGAACAATAAAGCTAAATTTACATCATACAGAGCTTGTAGGTTACTTGCTAAGGTAGCTAGCTAGCTTGCTAGTGAGATTGAGCAAGTGCATGTTCTAGTTCATATGGATGATGGATGGATTCTGAAAATTATACAAGCATAAAAGCATATTTATGTATTTAAGTCTTAATGTAAGCTTCTGTGCAACAGCAAACAGTGGATCAGATGCTTTACTGCCCCAGTATGGTTCCTTCAGTTCCAGTTCGGTTCTGGTGTAGTGGACTGCGGTGAGAAAAAGTGCAAGTGGACACATACTATAAGAGAAAGAGGAACCACTGGGCTTCATTAACCAATATCTTTAAGTTTTTTTCTTAAATTTGCTCTTGAGAAAGGTCCTAAGAAAAAGTCTACGTCAGATTCATGACGTGTTCTCAAACCACAGAATGGTTCACACCTTCGTGCTCTTGAGTGTGTGTAGATTCTGTTCCTACCTAAGAACAAATCCCAAATAAGAAAACACTGGAGAATAAGTATTTCTTCTAAAGAACAGTTGGTGAGTGAGGCCCATTGAGAGGGACCAAGACTCAAAAGTAAAAACATTGTCCAAGATCATGAAGAAGGAACATTGTGTGGAGCCAAGACTCTAAAGGAAGAACTCACTAAGATTATGAAGAAGGAACACTGAGAGGAACTAAGACTCAAAAGGAGAAAAACACTGTGAGGAACGAAGACTCAAAAGGATAATTACCCTAAGATAACGAAGAAGGAACACTAAGAGGAACCAAGACTCGAAGAAAAACTCCCCAAGAGAATGAGGAAGAAGCATTGAGAGTAACCAAGACTCAAAGAAAAGCTCCTCAAGAGAATGAGGTAGAACCACAGAGGAACCAAGACTCTGAGGAAAATTAGCTAAGATCATGAAGAAGGAACACTGAAAGGAACCAAGACTCAAAGAAAAGCTCCCTAGAAGAATGTGGAAGAACCACTGAGAGGAGCCAAGAATCAATGAAAGGCTCCCCAAGAGAATGAGGAAGAACCATTGAGAGGAACCAAGACTCAAAAGAAAAAAATTCTCCAAGATCATGAAGAAGGAACACTGAGAGGAACCAAGACTCAGAGAAAAGCTCCCCAAGAGAATGAGGAAGAACCATTGAGAAGAAGAACCACTGTCCTCTGAAATGTTTTCTAAGGAAAAACTCCCTAAGATCTTGAAGAAGAACCACAGAGAGAAACCCAGACCCAAAATGGGTACCCATGCTCCTCTGGGGTGCACGGGATAGTGCTGTAGGACACAAGTAAGACAAAAAAAGGCATAGAGACATATAGAGGACAGATCCCTGAGAGAAACCAATGATGTTAAAAGTCAGAAAACTGGTCAAAAATGATCTGGAGGATCTCCTGATTGTGTGGGAACACATACAAGATGATAGATGTAGCAGATGATGGAACAAATACTGGATGGTTAATGTAAAACTGAAGAAGGTCAGTGTGAGTTTAAGGCAGTATTATAACTTCTAGAAACCGGGGTTCATGCTGAGGTTAGTCAGCAGTCAACTACCGGATTAAAGCCTCTGGAGCAACCACGCAAGCCCTTTTGATTCCACAAGCATCATCTGTAATGAGTTCTGCATTTACATTTCAACAAATTTACTGTGGAACTGAGGACAGCCAGATGTTAATTGGTCATGATGTGTGAAGGAAGAAGGCAGTAAAGGCTCATGACTTTGCGGTTATTTGATTTGCTAGAAAGAAAATGAGTGGCTTGTATTTGAAACATCCCTAAAGGGGGAGACTCCATAGCCATCGCTTCAGCAGTCGAGTCAGTACTGTCTCCTGGAAACAGAAGCTCGGTCCCTTTGAGCCACGGAGCTTTCCTGACCTTCTCCTTCTCCCCTCGTATAAACCACAGAGGGAGAGATGAATGACTGTGGCAGAGATATGCAGATAAAAGTGACATGTGTCCTCAAGAAAAAGACAAGTAAAGATCCCCGTGGGACATCAGCAAGAGACACAGATAGACAAGCATAGATAAAATGCCTCTGGGCTGACGGACGGAGGGCAGGAGCAGTTTAACAGTGAGGAAACATAATGAGAGAGATGGGAATAGCCTCGGTATCCAAATGCTGCTATTCTGTACTGAGTGAAAGTAGGATTAAGTGTTACTCTATGGGACCTGGTGTCCCAAATCCATCCGAGCACAACGGATCATCATTAGCTGGTGCAGCTAGCATGACCTGAAGCACTCAAGAAACTTGCCACACAAAACACAAATCAATTTTTCATCCAATTTTTTCACCATATTTTTCACCCCATTTCAGACATCAAGGCTGTGCATGTACTTTCTGAGCAGGCACCACTTTTGCTAGGAGAGTTGCAAGTGTAGCACAAGTAATAAGACTGTAGCACTGAACTAAAAAGCCATTAATAATGTCTAAAAAGTGATAATCCTAATTAGTGGAACAAATTGTCAACTGTAAAAAAAAGAACAGAAGCATATGAATTATAGATAATAATAGATTAAAATAATGATAGACTGATAGATATTTAATTTTCTCCACGATAATTCTGATTGTCCACAAGGGGGTGCTATTAGCACACAAGTAAAAATATTGTCCATTTTTGAAAGAGAGGAAATCCACACCAGCAGGATCTTGACCATGAATGTAAACTGGAAAATCCTAAAGCCTAAATAACACAGGGTGTTACAGCCCTAAACTGGACAATTTGTGGGCATTTGATATGTCACAAATATCTTTTTAAAAACATTTGAATGTATTCTATATTGTTCAAACTACCAAATGGTCAAAAACAACTATTGCAACATAGGACCCCGGAGCATAGGGCTCTGAGAACATAGGGCCCAGAGAACATAAGAACCTTGGAACATAGGGCCAAGGAAACATAGGGCGCTGGGATCATAGGACCCTGGGAAGATAGGGACCTGAGAACAGAGGGCCAAGGGAACATAAGACCTTGGAAAACGGGGCCAAGGAAACATAGGGCCCTAGACACATAGGACCCTGGGAACATAGGACCCTGGGGAGATAGGACCCTGGACATATGGTACTCTGGGAACATAGGGTCATGAGAACAGAGGGCCCAGGGAAAATAAGACCCCTGGAACACAGGGCCAATGAAAACCTAGGGGCCTGGACACATAGGGCCCTGGGATCATAGGACCCTGGGAAGATCGGACCCTGGACATCTAGGACCATGGGAACATAGGGTCCTGAGAACAGTGGGCTCAGGGAAACTAAGTTCCTTGGAACATAGGGCCAAGGGAACATAGGACCCTGGGAAGATTGGACCCTGGACATCGAGGACCCTGGGAACATAGGGTCCTGAGAACAGTGGGCTCAGGGAACCTAAGTCCCTTGAAACATAGGACCATGGGAAGAGAGGACTCCAGGAAGATAGGACCCTGGGAATACAAGACTCTGGGAACATAGGCATGTTCCCAGCTCCAAGACATCTGTGATTGGCTAACAGTGCACTGAACAATAAAGGGAACAGTGCACTGAACAATAAAGAGAACAATAGAGGCCAATTATGTTCTCATATACTATAAGTCACGGATTGCGATGGCATTGCTGGGTTTCAAATCCTGAGAACATAGGACTCTGGGAACTTCCATGGCCATGGCATTGCCAGGTTTTGCCAAGCATGTTTTCACGTTACTGTGGTGCACCACAAGGGGGTGATAGAGTATGAATCGTATTGCATGTAAACCACATCTGCTGTTATTCCAGTAGCCACAACAATAACAAACCTGCCCACAGTTAGGAAATGCGTGGTGCTTTCAAACAATTGATGGGGACTGAGAGTTTTTAGTCCCTCTTGTCCCATGGGCTAAAGCAAGCTACAGCGGCCCCTTGATGAAAAGCTCAGAAAGCCTAAAACACAATGGTGTTAAAATCAATTTTGCATAGCTTTAAGCATGCATGTCTGCATACTTGCATTGGATATGATTCTGGCCAAGCAATGAACTGTTTGAAGGATCTGGGCCTGGATCAATAATTTCTAGCCACTTTCAAATGATACCGTTGATGCATATTGCTCATTTTCAATAAAGCGCAGCCATCTGTTCCACCAATACCCATACAAGATCCGGAGGCAGGGATGGCGACAGGCGCTAAGTGTATTCATTTAGGAGTCGTAAATCAGACCATTGTTTGGAGCTGACGGGCTGTAAATTCAGCAGGACAGGGGGATGGAGCTGTGTGAAGACAAATGGAAGGCGGAGGTTAATGCACTCAGTCCGGCATTAGCCTCCGTCTGTGTGGAGCACTCAGCAGGAATTGCAGTGCTGCCGGGGGGGGGCACAGGGGGGCTTTGTGTTATTGCACCACCTGCAATACATCTACCTCTGATCCTCATGGGCCTGTCATGCTGGAGAGGGCTAATGCTGGTATTCACACACAAAGCCAGGCAGGTAAAGAGTGCAGTTCCAAGTATACAAGGTCACCATGTCAACAAAAGGAAAAGAAGGTATTATTGTGACTCCAATTCCATGAATTTTCTAAATGTCTAAAGGTTAAAATGTAAGCACAGTCATTTGGAGTGGTTCGAATTAGAACTGTTCACAGTGGTGGTGATAGGAACCAGACATCTGAAGAGTTTAATGCCTTTAAAAGTTCCCTCACAGAAAGTTTTTACATGAAATGGTTATGAATGCACTGCATGATGTCTGAGACATTGTTTTATGATAGTTTTGAGAAGGTTTTGGTCTAAAACATATGTTTAAAAGAACATTCATGGTCAAGGGGTACATGCAGGGTGTTATCTGGCAAAATAGACCCCAAAATATATTTTTCCGATTTATCGCTATTTTACCATCATCAACATTCCATATAAAAACTCAGAAGACACATATAGATTCACTGGTGGTTTGGGTAGTAAATAAAATGGCTGTGATTGTGTTGTGACCCTTGGTTCATAGTACGAGCACAAACCACTCTGAATGACTTTGCTTATATCTCAAATACTGAATTATCCAAAAATTAAAAAAACAAAAAACAAATCAGTGGAATTCCCCCTTATGCTTAAGATGTATTATCCAATAATGTCTATGCATTATTCAATAACTACTATGAAACTACTATTTGCAGTGGTGCTTGAAAGTCGTGAAGCCTTTAGAAGTTTCTATATTTCTGCATAAAGTTGAACTAAAACTTAAACAGATTTTCAGTCCTAATAGTAGATAAAGAGAAACACATTAAACAAATGAGACAAAATATTAGACTTGGTCATTTATTTACTGTGGAAAAGGATCCAATATTACAGATCTGTTAGTAGCAAAAGTATGTGAACCGAGGATTAGCAGATAATTTGAGGGTGAAATTAGAGTCAGGTGTATTCAACCAATGGGATTGCAATCAGGTGTGAGTGACCACCCTGTTTTATTTAAAGAACAGGGATCTGATCTTCACAACACATGACCTCAGAAGAAGAGTTGTTGAAAGGAAAACACTGCATTCTAGCATGAAAACCTTATCCCATCTGTGAAACATGGTGGTGGTAGTATCATAGTTTGGGTCTGGTTTGCTGCATCTGGGCCAGGACGGCTTGCCATCATTGATAGAACAATGAATTATACCAGCAAACTCTAAAGGAAATCGTCAGGACATCTTTCAAGCACCACTGTACATAGTTATAGACATAAATACAGATATATAGTTATGACAATAAAGAATGAAAGTTTGTGATGACATAAATACCGTACAGAAGAACATTCACAAGCACACAGATTCCTACCTGAAGATGAAGATGAAGAGCATGAGCAGCATGCAGAAAGTGGCCACGTTGTCCATGGTCTTCATGAGGACCACCAGCTGTCTGCGCAGAGCTGGCATAAAACGCACCAGCTTTATCACCCGCAACAGCCTGAACGTCCGCAGCACGGACAGACCGCCATCAGACTGACCAATGATCTCACAAACACTGTACACACATACAAAAGAGACAGAGATTTAGTTTTGAAAAGTTTTCAGCAGATATTCTGTCTGAACAAACATAATCCAGTGTTTCTTCTGGAATTAAGAGTATTGACCGAAAGTTTGCCCCTCTTTTCTGTAGTAACAGTGCACTCTTCTGGAAAGGCTTTCCTCTTGGACTGAAAGGACTAACAAATTGATCAATTAAACATAAAAATCAATATTTTAATTATTTTAAAGAATAGGTATTTTATAGTAACATTCAGTATATCACTGACGTCAGAAGAAAACCTTGTATCTCCATTTTTGTCGTTTTTAAGTTTTTGACAATTTGAAAATGCCTGTTGCCGTTTATATTGCATGTAAATTTCATGATGAATGGGTTAAAAGAAATGACCCAAAGTATGTTTTTTCCTTCTCCTGTAAAGTTACCACTTCGGAGATACGAGGTTTTCTTCCGACAACAGTGATATCTAGGAAAATTTCCACTTATGCCAGAGGGGGTGCCAAAATCTCAAAATCTCAAAGGCCTTTTGTTTTTAACACCAAGACCAAGTTTTACAGAAAAAACCCTTAAAACTGAAGGTAAGTTCTGAAAACACATTAACACTAATGGCTTCTTTCACAGCTCATGGCTGCTTTTAGGCTTTCAGGCTGAAGCTGAGCCTCAAACTGCATTACAGAACAGCACCTGCTTTGTCGAGTTTCAGCTGTTCAGCTGGTGTTTAACTTATTTTAGCAGAATAGACTTTCTTTGCTTCCATTAGTACCGGATGGCTCTATTTCTTCTACTTTGTGCTCGTGTTTGCAAAAGTTTCATTAAAAAGTATTTTCAATTGTTTCATCTGTAAAAAAAAAATGACTCAGTGTGAACTCAGGATGGCAAACACTGAACTAACATTATTATACATAATTATTAATATGTGCCATCAAGTCAGTTCTGGCTTTTGGTGACCGTATACGTGTTTGTTCTGTTTTTTGTTTGAGTCTTTACGCTTCTAAATGACTTGCTCATTTTACTTTGATTGTGTCCATCCATCTTATCACTGGTCATCCTCTTCCTCTTTTGCCTTCAACCATTCCAAGCATAATAGCCTTTTACAATTAACTGTTTTTTCCTTATAATATTGTTATTTGTCTGTGCCTGTATGTGTTGTTTTCTTTCTTCTCTCCCATTCGCCTCTTTCCTTACTTTTAACTGTCTCTCTCCTATAGGCTAGTGTGTCAATCACTTTTACCTGTAGAATGTCATTTGGTCAATCATTGTCCAGGGTACTTGCACAGGCAGAGGAACTTGGTCTTTAAAGCAGCCCAGCAGAGTTAGTGTTAGCTGGAGCTGAAAGCTGAAGCTTCTTGTGACATTTCTTGGCTGTTTACTTATTTGTCTGCTCTCTGCTATAATATGTTTTAAGACTTTTAGCCCTGCTAACTTTGTAGCCCTGCTAGCTTTGTCCCTGTTTGTAGCCCTGCTAGCTTTGTCCCTGTTTGTAGCCCTGCTAGCTTTGACTTTGTTTGTAGCCCTGCTAGCTTTGTCCCTGTTTGTAGCCCTGCTAGCTGTGTCCCTGTTTGTAGCCCTGCTAGCTTTGTCTCTGTTTGTAGCCCTGCTAGCTGTGTCCCTGTTTGTAGCCCTGCTAGCTTTGTCTCTGTTTGTAGCCCTGCTAGCTGTGTCCCTGTTTGTAGCCCTGCTAGCTTTGTCCCGTTGTAGCCCTGCTAGCTTTGTCCCTGTTTGTAGCCCTGCTAGCTTTGTCTCTGTTTGTAGCCCTGCTAGCTTTGTCTCTGTTTGTAGCCCTGCTGCTTTGTCTCTGTTTGTAGCCTTGTTAGCTTTGTCTCTGTTTGTAGCCCTGCTAGCTTTGTCCCTGTTTGTAGCCCTGCTGCTTTGTCCCTGTTTGTAGCCCTGCTGCTTTGTCCCTGTTTGTAGCCCTGCTAGCTTTGTCCCGGTTTGTAGCTCTGCTAGCTTTGTACCTGTTTGTAGCTCTGCTAGCTTTGTCCCTGTTTGTAGCCCTGCTGCTTTGTCCCTGTTTGTAGCCCTGCTAGCTTTGTCCCTGTTTGTAGCCCTGCTAGCTGTGTCCCTGTTTGTAGCCCTGCTAGCTTTGTCTCTGTTTGTAGCCCTGCTAGCTTTGTCCCTGTTTGTAGCCCTGCTAGCTTTGTCCCTGTTTGTAGCCCTGCTAGCTTTGTCCCTGTTTGTAGCCCTGCTAGCTGTGTCCCTGTTTGTAGCCCTGCTAGCTTTGTCTCTGTTTGTAGCCCTGCTAGCTGTGTCCCTGTTTGTAGCCCTGCTAGCATTGTCTCTGTTTGTAGCCCTGCTGCTTTGTCCCTGTTTGTAGCCCTGCTAGCTTTGTCTCTGTTTGTAGTCCAGGTAGCTTTGTCTCTGTTTGTAACCCTGCTAGCTTTGTCCCTGTTTGTAGCCCTGCTAGCTTTGTCCCTGTTTGTAGCCCTGCTAGCTTTGTCCCTGTTTGTAGCTCTGCTAGCTTTGTCTCTGTTTGTAGCCCTGCTGCTTTGTCCCTGTTTGTAGCCCTGCTAGCTTTGTCTCTGTTTGTAGCCCTGCTAGCTTTGTCTCTGTTTGTAGCCCTGCTAGCTTTGTCCCTGTTTGTAGTCCTGCTAGCTTTGTCTCTGTTTGTAGCCCTGCTAGCTTTGTCCCTGTTTGTAGCCCTGCTAGCTTTGTCCCTGTTTGTAGCCCTGCTAGCTTTGTCTCTGTTTGTAGCCCTGCTAGCTGTGTCCCTGTTTGTAGCCCTGCTAGCTTTGTCCCTGTTTGTAGCCCTGCTAGCTTTGTCCCTGTTTGTAGCCCTGCTAGCTTTGTCCCTGTTTGTAGCCCTGCTAGCTTTGTCCCTGTTTGTAGCCCTGCTGTTGAGCCCTTGTGCCTTACCTTAGACACACCCCATCTCAGGATTGTAACAAAATGTCCTAAATAAGGGCTGTGATTTGGTTATCTGGGCTTTGGGTGAGCAGTGAGATTTGATTTGGTCAAGAATCCATTTGTTTTCCTTGCTGTCCAAGGTACTCTCAAACATCTCTGCCACACATCCATAAAGAACCACAGCAAAGACCATGGCCTTTATTGACCTTTATTGATGAGTTGGTCAGTGGTCCTTGCTTAACCCCTGATAGCAAGAGGATAGTGGACCACTGTCGGCCCACTGATGGAGTATTAGACAAAATTCCATTTATCATCACTCATTTTCCACTATCAGTCCAATTTACTGATTTACTAAACTAAGTTATCATGATAAATTAGTTTAGTAAATCATTTTAATCCAGCACAGCGTCAGCAACAACATTTTCTATAAAATCATTTTATATCAGGCCTAGTCATGATTTTTTTCTCTCTCATTTGTTTGTAATGTTTGTCTATTTTCCAAAATAAAAGTTTGTGTGCACTTAAAATCTGGGGAGATTAAAAACTAGTTCAAACTTGTATGCATGACAGTAATCTCGGTGGTCCGAGGTGGACCAGCAGTGGTGTACAGTGGGGTGCTGACCTTATCAAGCCAGCGGACCAATATATGCTCGTTATCAGGGACACTAGATGTTGGAACATTGCTGTGAGGATTTAATTACATTTAGCCACATGAGAATTAGCGAGGTCAGGTACTGATGTTAGATGATCAGTTCTGCATCACTCCAACTCATCCCAAAGGAGTACCGTCCAGAGAATGTGATTCTATGCTCCACTGCATTGCACCCTCTCTACATGGCGTTTCCCATGGTGACCTTAGGTTGGAAACAGTGTTCACTCTGTGGAAGTCACATGACTTTCATGTCCACTCAGAATGCTAGAACAAAGTGCACTGCATTTTAAATGAGCCCCTTCGAGTAAAATTTGAGCAAATGAAACAAATGTGATTGGAATTACTTACACATAAATGACCATGACTAATAATATTAATTATTCAACAGCCCTACTTATAACTGAAAATATGATTTGCATGTTTTTTCACTGTCTTCCCAATTCCAATACATCTGCCACACTGACCTGATGATAACGATGATGCCATCAAAGATGTTGTACGGGTTCCTCAGGTACTCAAAGAAGCCGAAAGCCGTCAGTTTGAGGATCATCTCCAGGGTGAACATGCTGGTGAAGACTATATTGCAAATCTCTAGCACATTGGTCAGCTCCTCAGGCTGAAGAGAGAGAAAAGAGCAATGAGGAGAAGAACAAAGGAGGAAGAGGTGAAGAAATCATTTCAATCCATTATGCTGCAATGCAACTTTTGACATTAAATGGGCGTGTTTTAATTTAAGGGAGTGTATTGTGGAGCCTTAAACGCTTTCATTTTACCATATTTACACACAATACAAGAACAGAAATGACAGCACCAGTGGAGCACAGCAGATAAAGAAACAAATTCAGCAAAGGAGCAGATCTTCAATGTGCTTCCAGCAGCTTCACTCCGTAAATGGCAACCTGGGCCCATGAATAATTAGTAGCAAAGTTGGTGCTGCTGTTTCTTCTGCGTGGCTTTTCTTAAGATGAATAGTACTGTAGGAAAACAATATAGCAAAGCCTTTTCCCAGACTAAGAAACAATTTTCACAGTGTTTTAACATCGTGATGGTGGTTTTCACAAAAATGTGTGCTTCTACAGTAAGATGTGGTTCAGAAATGACCTCCTAGAGCATAGGTCATCGACTAGATTTGACTGGGGCCAAATACTCACACAGCAAACAGTCTGGAGTGTCTGTAAGCTGAAAGTGCAAGAATGTTGATGGTGATTCATTGAATTGGTCATTATGAGTAAAAATAAATAATTAGCATAAGGCCGTCATGTTTTTTAATGATTTTCTGTCCTCTTGGATTCATGCTGACTGCTAAAACTCTGATACACAGCAGGGCAGGCTTTATTTTTAATTACAAATTGAGCTACATATTCAATATCAGATATTTGCGTGAATCATGTTGCTGTTTCAACTCTTCGTTGGAATATGAAGGCTAAAAGCAGAGCAATAATATCAGGATTTTGGGTGATTTTCAGAACCAAATTACTCACAGATGCTGATGTTACAGCTTGATGATGTCAAGCTAGGTCCAGTGGGCCAGCTCTGCTGAATGTCCTGATATGTGGATCATGTCTGTAGCTTAAACTGGTCTGAAGTTATGAAGCCTAGAAGTCTTATTTTAAATATATGTTTTCTGTTATTTTCCAGATGCTGAAAAATGAATAACTTGGACATAAAAGCCATTTAGTTAAACAAATGAAGGGTGGTCTCTGAGTTTTGCACAATAATGTAGGATATTGTCATTCAGATGAAGAAGGGACCACATGACTGATGCCAGGCTGAGTGTCACCTGTATGATCTGTTTATCGCTGTGAGCTGCTGATGATACCGAGCTGTAAGGTGGTGATGAGCTCAGTTGGAGTCATAAATATCTCCACAGCGCTGTGGTACGAGGGATTACTCCACACGCGCCGAACAGATAAACACTATCTATCTCTGTCCAGGCTTCAGCCATCTGACACCAAAGGCCCTGTAAAAAATCACAGTGCCTCTATCACACTTGATAAACGGCAGGCTGTTTGTATGAGGGCGCGCAGGGTGGTCAAGATTTTGGGCTGGATACAGTAGAAGAACATAACCTTTTCTCTCTCTGTCTCTGTCTCTCTCTCTCTCTCTCTCTCTCTCTCTCTCTTTCTCTCTGAGTATCCTGACACCTCCATCTCTTTCTGATCAATATCCCTTCATCACCGAGCCTGGGCAGAGAACAACCAACTGAAGGACGAATGAAAATAAAACCAGTGGCAACACTGAGGAGGTGCCATTTAAAGTGACGGGATATTGACATGGCAATCAAAGCAGATAATGGCAAAGAGCTGGAAACCTAAAGAATCACTAAACTTCCTCCAGCTATGAGTTCTCTTCTCCTTTCCTTTCCTTTCCTTTCCTTTCCTTTCCTTTCCTTTCCAGTGGCAACAATGAGGTAAAAAAATCCTTCCTTTCCTTTCCTTTACTTTACTTTACTTTACTTTACAGTGGCAACAATGAGGTAAAAAAATCTTTTCCTTTCCTTTTCTTTCCTTTCCTTTCCTTTCCTTTCCTTCCCAGTGGCAACAATGAGGTAAAAAAATCTTTTCTTTCCTTTCCTTTCCTTTCCTTTCCTTTCCTTTCCAGTGGCAACACTGAAGTAAAAATTTTCTTTTCCTTTCCTTTCCTTTCCTTTCCATTCCAGTGGCAACAATGAGGTAAAAAAAAACCTTTCCTTTCCTTTCCTTTCCTTTCCTTTCTTTTCCTTTCCTTTCCAGTGGCAACATCGACGTAAAAAAATTCCTTTCCTTTCCTTTCCTTTCCTTTCCTTTCCTTTCCTCTCCTTTCCTTTCCTTTCCAGTGGCAACATTGAAGTAAAAAATTTGTTTCCTGTCCTGTCCTGTCCTGTCCTGTCCTGTCCTGTCCTGTCCAGTGGCAACACTGAAATAAAAAATTCGTTTCCTTTCCTTTCCTTTCCTTTTCTTTCCTTTCCTTTCCTTTCCTTTCCTTACCTTTCCTTTCCTTTCCTTTCCTTTCTGCAGAAGTGTCAGCACCAAGGATGTATGTCATTCTCCCATTTCTTTCCTCTCCACCTGTTTCTCTAAACGCATCATTTACGTTTCCCGATCATGCCTCTGAATGTGTTGGTCTATCACGCGTATCAAATCTCAGTCAGTTTGCAGTCGTTGATACCCACAAAACCACCAGCTTCTGCTGATGTGTGTAAATATTATGATCTTTTTGTCATATTTTCAATATTCCCAGTGTTACAATGACACGAATCGCTCAGAGCATGTGTCTGACTCACGGTGAATGATGTCATTTCTATACAATACACCAGCGTACAATGGGCCATGCATCATAAAACTCAAGAGAAACAACGCTGGGGCTCATTCAGTGCTGTGTATCAGCGCATATGTGTTCCATTTAAACAATCTATACCGGTCTACATGTTTAATAAGCTGAAACTGCTGCGTAATGGAAGCGCAACAACTCTTTTTTCTGCATCTGCCTCCCTCTTTCCCCCTCTCCCCCTCTCCACAACACTGTTATTTTTAGATTCTTCAGAGATGAGAGAATAGGGATCTACTGCAGGGAGAGAAGAAGTGAGGGGGTGGATGAGACAGCAAGAGGGAGAAAGAAATAGACACAGTGAGAGAGAGAGATTGGGGAGAAGAGGGGGAGGAGAACAGCAGGCTCAAACATACAGCAGAGCTAAAAGTGTTCGAGAGACATTAACTCCGCAGAAATGGTGAAATATTCTTTCACGACTCCATTAGTTTGACTGGCACTCCTTATAAAGACGCCTTTACTGGAGACAGCAGCTATTATACTAACTGACTAACACCAAGAAGTAGATAAAAGAGACAGGAATTTCTTCAAAAGCTTCAAAACATACTAATCGTGAGGTGCCAAAATGTCCTAAGAACCAGCACAGAAATCAGGGGAAGCGTCCCTGTATTTTTATGGATGTGCAGTACTTTATATTTGGACCCACCTGATTGAATACAAGGTTTTTATAATCTTGGGGTGCGTCACTAAAACATACATAGTTTGAGGTGCAAAGAGGGAAGGTGTGTGAACAGCTGCAGGCCATTTTTGAGCCCTAAACCTGCATAATGTTGTTTTATAAACAAAAAAATAATGCTGTTGTTGGAAGAAGATCTCCTATCTCCAAAATGGTAACTTTACAGGAGAAGGAAAAAATCTACTTTACTTTTAATGTAAGTCAATGGAACCAGAAGTCTTTCCAAGCCATTTTAGGTCATTTCTATTAGTTCATTCTTTATAAAATTTACACACAATGTAAAGGACAACAGGTACTTTCAAATTCTGTCGAAAACTAAAAAATGTCAAAAATGGAGTTTTTTTCCCGACAGCAGTGATAAGTAGAGTTGTCCTGCATTTTGAATACATTCGTTTTTCATCAACCGTTATATCTCCTGCTTGGTGTGTATTCGAGTGTGTGACTGTGGGCATAAAAAAAATTAGCTACTAAACCACACATCAAAAATCTGATTGGACATCACTCAACTCATTTTGCATAAAGTTCGTCAGTACCATTTTAAAATAAGACTACCCTTATAAATGGTTCACGAATGGTTTGAAATCAGTTTATTAATAGATGTCTATTCAATCTTAAAGACCTCATTAAAAAGCGTTTACAACACATGAATAAAAAGGGCAACAGCAACCTGTCAACAGTGAACCCGCATTCATTTATACTGTCAAACTTCAGATTTTGATGTTTACTGATCTTACTTTGTTTTCTTCATCAGTCAGCATTAAACCTGTCAGCTTCATCACAAATTCATATTCATCAGATATAACAGCTTGCTTTTGACCTTTTTAGTAATGTGTTATAACTGCTTATTGATGATGGCCTAATGGACAACAGTAACAAACTATTTTTAAACTATTTATAAATGCTTTATAAAGGCAGTCCTATTTTAAAGAGGTATCAGTTCATCCAGAAGGAGCGAAAGCAGAGAGTGTGCATCAGTAGCTTAATGTATCAGTTATGTGGACATATTGTCATCTCTTGGCATGTTATGGAATATCATGACACTCTGTTTGATGCAATATATATATATGTGTATATATATATATATATATATATATATATATATATATATATCTGTTGTCGGAAGAAAAACTTTTACAGGAGAAGGAAAAATCCTACTTTACTTATAATGTAAGTCAATGGAACCAGAATTTTTTCCAAGTCATTTTGGGTCTTTTCTTTTAGTCCATTCATCAAGAAATTTACACACAATGTAAAAGGTAACAGGTATTTTCAAATTATGTCAAAAACTGAAAAACGTCAAAAATAGAGATACAAGGTTTTCTTCCAACAACAGATATATATATATATATATATATATATATATATATATATATAAATCATTTTGCATGACGTCTCTGTTCACATCACATATATATACTGCTTAAAATTTCAGCTCCTTCAACTTAAAACACCTTCACGCATCTCTGCTAACAACGCTGACAGTATCAAGTTCTGCCACTAGACAGCCTGCATTTATCACAGTAGGCTACGCTTGCTAGGTTAGCTTTTCTTTGATGGATGTTTTTCTCATTTGCTCAGATTCAAAGACAGTGATTATTAATTTACATAATTGGGACAGAAATTCTGGCTAAATTCTGGCAAAAAACATCAAGAAACTGAAAAGTTATTCAAAGGATCGACTTTGTACATGTAAAATAAGATCTACCTGATTATGGATTTAGGTATCTTGGGGCCTTAAATGCCTATTGCATTTGATGGGTTGATTTGTTTGGGATAAAGTCTCTGCGTAATTTCCTCAAATCCTCAAAGATATCCCAGATTAAAAGGTCACAGTCTGGATGTTTACATCAGTGTTGCACCACAGGATATGCTCAATAACAATAATGTGTCACACAGCCACGTCTATTAGCAGGTTTTGTTATTTCATCAGTGTAAGGTGGAATAACTATTACTGAGGGAGCTGCAAGCACAGCCAGTTAAATAAGATTATTCACTCCACAGTTATTACTGTAAAAACTGCACACTGCAGATTCACACTGGATTGAAATCACTCCACAATTATTACTGTAAAAACAACACAGAAGGTTCATGCTGGATTGAAATCACTCCAAAATTATTACTGTAAAACAGCAAAGTAGATTCATACTGGATTAAAATCACTCCACATCATTACTGTCAAGCTGTGGAAATGCAAAAACTTTGCATGCTGTGACTCACACTCGTCTACTATCACTCCACAATTATTACTGTCAGAGTGTAAAAATAATGCATACTGCAAATTCATACCGGATTAAAATGACTCCACAATTATTAATGTCAGGTTCTAACAATGTAAAAAATTACACATACTGCAGATTCATACTGGATTAAAAGTACTCCATAATAATTACTTTAACACTGAAGAAACTACACACAGTATAGATTCATCCTGGATTAAAATCGCTTTGTGATTATTCACCGTCAGGTAAAACTCGGCGCTCCAAACTGGCCTAACTGCAGCTTTATCTCAGATTAGAGTCAGAAGGCCCTTTATTTACCTGGTTGTGGTGCTCAATGCCCATGCTGATGGTATTGATGAGGATAGCAATCATTATCCCTCTGTTGAAGTATTTACTCTCCACGATACTCCACAGTTTCGTCCGCATCTCATCCCACAGGTCCTTACAGCTCCCCAAGCAGGAGCGCTTCTTTTTCTTTTTCTTCTTCTTCTTTTTCTTTTTCTTTCCATCTTCCTCCTCATCGTCTTCCTCTTCGTCCTCCGTGTCCTCCTCCGTTCTCTCCTCTAAGTGGTTCTCCTCCCGGTCAGCTTCCTCCAGGGCTCCTTCTTCCTCCCTGTTGGCTGCACATTGCAGACATTCCTCAGGGTTTGGAGTGATGGGCAGGGATATGACATTGTCCAGAGTTTGGGGACTATGCTCTAGCTTGCTTTGGTGTGGACACTGAGACACTAGGAGAGAACAGAAGGACATGGTGAAATGGTGTGAGAATAAGGATGGAAAAATGTGTCGTCATGGTGGTGCATCAATTTTGCTTATTCGATTCTGGAATATTATAATTGATTACAATCAATTATTTTAAAAAAAAACTATTATAATTATAATGTATGTATTAAGGGCTACAAATATTAAAGACACTTAAGTGCAGTGGGGCCATAATAATGCACTTGTAATGCCCTTATTACGCATTGTCATGCCAATAACTGGCAAATAACTGGCTTTTCTACTCTACTAAGCAATAACTAGACTGTATTCAAATATTATACATCATAATCTTTTGCATAACATCACTCGATATAAAGATATTCAACTAGTGCTTTGCTCAGACAACCTGATGAGACTCTGTCTAATAAATTAGATACGGATGTTGTTAATAAACACAATGTATGCATGTTTAGATAAGGGCTATGCACTTTATGGCCCGTGCCCGTCACCCGGGCCCCGATGACGGCCACGAGAGCCAGCAGGAAGGCAGGGCCTGGGTGGCGGAGTTCGGGACTCACATCCCGCCTTCGTGCCTCTCGTGGCCGTCATCATCATCATCCCCTCTCTGACGACTGACGTCCTCCTCCCGCTGTCACTCGTGTCCCTTCACAGTCTTCGGGATTCGCTCGCTGTCCCCCACTCCCTCGCGGTTCTCCTCTCCCTGTCATCCTCACGGGGCTTCGTCCTCACTTGGAGTTCGGGTTCCGCCTTCCTGCTGGCTCTCATGGCCATCATTGGGGCGGCACATGTCACACACTTACATAGTTTTAGTAAAAATGAACTAGAAATCTCAGCTTTAGAATGGAGTGCTGTATTTATTCACAGGTAACTTAATTTTCTATTCATACACTGATAAGAATTAAAAGAAAACACCAAACTAGTGTTTTAAGAGAATCTGATTAAGCTGAATGTAAGCTAGAAATATATTTATTCTCCATAGAATAGGGGTCTGTTTGCCTTTACTTAGAACTAATTGGTGATTTACTATTTATGAATTCATAAAGTGCATTTCCTGAAAAAAAAATCAGCCTGATTCCCTGGTATTGGAGGTGACAAACCAAACCAGTTAAAATATTGTTAGGTGGTTACTATGGTATCTCTCATGCTTGCTAGATGGTCGCTGTGGTGTTCCATGTAGTTGCTTTGGTGTGCCAGGTGGCTATGAGGTTAGAGAATTGTTACGTAGTTGCTAAAGTGTCCCAGGTGGTTGCTAGGGTGACGTAAGAGGGGCGTAGAAGCTTTTGTCCAAATAATATACAATGACTAAAAGGTATATATAAGAAGAAGGATTCAAATTCAGAATATGAAACAATCCAAAACAATTGGAGTTGGTTCGATGTGGATATCTTGAAAATCTGATGTTGATATCTGATGTTGAATAATGTAAATCAGCTAACAATGGGGTTACATGCTGCGCAGTCACTAATAAATATTCCATACAGTCTCAACACTTAATTAAGCACTGTGTACATCATGATATATGATCTGATGCACTCAGATATAAAATGCTTAGGTTTTTTCCTTGTGCTTGATGGAGTTTTGACGGCCTGAGCTAAAGGCCTTGCTCTAATAGTAATGGTTCAGCACTGATGTAATTAGTTCTTCCAATCACGTTTGAGTATTCAGTGTAACTCTGTATTATTCCAGGATGATACTATGTATGTAAAACATGTGTAAAACATAGGTTATGTGGACATAAGCATCCACATTTGGACTCTTAGCTTAATGCACTTCATACATTCAGTAATTTTCCAAAGTCTATTAACATCAGTACATCATCTCAGATCTACTCTAGAAGCCCATCTAGTGGAATATCATACATGTTTCATTTCAATGTATTTTACATGTCTGTCTATGTACATGTCTGCTGAGTGCTATAACTTGTTTTACCTCTTTGTTTTGATATTTAAATTTTAATGTTTACCGCTGTGTTTTATAGCAGGATCTCATCCAGACATCTCTACATAGAAAAAACCTGAACCGCACTGTGTTGAAGACAGAACGTGTGGTATTTGACTGTGAGGGGAAATCAAAGAATACTAAATCATGCATCGATGAAACTTGTTAGTGAAAGTAATGAAGCTCAAAATGCCACATGACCGAACTGAAAAGACTGAAGTGCTTTTAGTGAGTGCTTTTAGAGAGAACTTCTCGCTTCCCTACTGAAGTTCTCCTATATATGCTGCTCTCTTAATGGCTACCTCTCTCTTTCTCCTCGACTGACCCACACCTGACTCTTTTCTAGACTCAGTGAGTCCATCAGATGTGGGTTCAGCATGACATTTGAAAATGGTACACTGGGGTTCACTGAATTTACAGTACATTGATTTTTGGAGGGTCATTTTGGAGTTTTTATCTACTGGGATGGACCACTACCAGCTCAGCCTACTGAGTCCACAAAATCATTGCAAATGGACATTTATGTCAAGAAATGTCCTCCATAGTTCAAGTTACGTACTGCTCTTAATCCACCAATTACACTTTGATTTACAATGGGTGGAACCTATTTTGTGGAAAAAAACCTTCTGAAAGTTCTAGATACATCACTGAGTGTGAATAAGTAGTCTAGAGCAGGTTTAAGCAGGTTTTGGTTAGTTGTTAGGAATGGAAAACAGTGGCATCAGCTCTATGCCAGGACTCTTTACTGAAAGAGTCACTGTAGAACTGATACATACATGTGCAAAAATACAGTCTATAGCATCCCATAGAGCTGCTAGAAGAAATTAGCTTTAGAAAGACAGTAGAAATTTTGGTCTCACTATATTTGGATAGTCCACTGTGAAATTTCTCCGTTGTGGGACTAATAGGAGTCACATAATAATAATATAGTCCCCTATAAATTATCTACAAATGCTCAAATTGTTAACAAACTATCTGAAACTTTTTTTATTCTAAACAGGGGTGGGGTTAGGATTTGGACCAGGATTAGGGCTAGGACCAGAGTGAGGGTTGGGTTTAGGTTGTGGGTTGAGGTTAAGGTTAGGGTTGGGATTACAGCCAAGTTTAGAGTTAAAGATGATTTTGGTCAATTTAGTAGATATTTAGTTGAATGTAACTTGAAAGTAAATTAAGTATCTACAAAGCATCTAAAGTGGATATCCAAATAAAGTGTCACTTCACTTCAAAAAGTCTGGTTCTATTGAGTGGATTTGAATGTAGAAAAACATTTTGCACTGTCAGTTTGGTGTTTTGTGGTGAATAAAATCACAGCTGGGATGATCTACTGTGACCAAATCACAGCCATGATTCTAAAAAAATGCTGTGCCTAAAAAATAACCCTCACCTTGAGCTGAGTGGCAGTGATGCCTCTCTCCGTTTACATTTGCCCCTCCTCTGGACCTGCCCCTCCCTCCTCCTGGGGGCGGGCGCTTTACCCCGCAGCGTGTAGTAGAGCGCAGCGGAGCGGCGGCGGGCCTTTCGCAGGATGTGGCACACCAGCTGGAAAAGCTCCTCATAGCAGTCCCCGGGCTCGGTCATGGAGGCCAGCGTGCTGGAGGACAGGCAGCGAGCGCGCTGCTCCTGCATGAGCTGGTGCTCCCGCTGCTTCGTCTCCGAAAACTGAGTGGCGATGACCACCAGGCACAGGTTAATCATGAAGAAGGAGCCAATCTGATGGTCAAGAGACAGAAAAGGTTCAGGATCAAGGCCACGTGTAATAAGCAGAGGTGGGTAGAGCAGCCTAAAGCCATTCTCTAACAAAAATGCTGTTGCTACACTTAAATAATGCATGTTAGTTCACATTTTGGTCTAACATAAAATGCTAAAGCTCCAAAGTAAGAGGCGTGAGCAACAGTAAAGCAGTCCTGGAGCTCAACCATGAAATTAAATCAAAATTAATTAGGAACTAAATATGAAAACCTAAAGTGGAAACAAGGAAAAAGTCAACTCCTTTCCTGACTTCTGTATCTAGTACTTCGGAGTTTGTACCAAACACTTGCCCAGTTTAAATGTAGAACTTTTAAGCATTTCAACACAATGTAACTAGACTGTCTTGTCATATCACATTACCCAAAATAATTATCTAGAACTTTGGAGTTTGTACCCAACACTTGCCCAGTATATGCATAGAACTTTTAGGCATTTAATGTAACTTACCAACTTATCTAGACTATCTTGAAACTTACCATCATGGTACATTACCCAGAATAATTATCTAGAACTTTGGAGTTTGAACCAAACACTTGCCCAGATAATACATAGAACCTGTTGGACATTTCAGTGTAATGTGCTTACAGTGTCTTGGAATTTAAGATCATGTTACCCCAAATAGTTATTCAGTACTTTGGAGTTTGTGTCAAATGCTTGCTCAGTTAATACCTAGAACCTGTTGGGCATTTCAGTGTAATGTAGACTGATCTAGACTGTCTTGGAATTTATCAATATGTTAACCAAAATTTGTATCTAGTACTTTGGAGTTTGTACCAAACATGTACTTAGTTAATACCTAGACCCTGTTGTGCATTTGAGTGTAATACGGCGATATTGTCTTGGGACTTAGTATCACATTGCCCAAAATAATTATCTAGAACTTTGGAGTTTGTACCAAACATTTACCCAGTTAATGCCTAAACCTGTTATGCATTTGATTGTAATGTAGCTAAACTGTCTTGGAACATTACCCAAAAGAATCAGCTAGTACTTTGGACTTTGTCCAAATGCACTTCCAGTTAATACCTAGGTTCTAATACCTAGAACCTATAGCTACATTGAGTTTAATGTAGCTATACTGTCTTGGAATTTACAATCACATTACCCAAAAGAATCGCCTAGTACTTTAGAGGTTGTCCCAACACTTTTCCATTTAATATATAAGTTCTAATACCTAGAACATACAGCTACATTGATTGTAATGTAGCTATACTGTCTTGGGACTTACTATCATATTACCCAAAATAATCACAAAGTACTTCAGAGGTTGTCCAAACACATTTCAAGTTAATACCTAGAACCTTGTGTGCATTTGAGTGTAATACAGCTATACTGTCTTGGAAATTACTATCACATTACCAAAAAGAATCACAAAGCACTTCAGAGTTTGTCCAAACACTTTTCCAGTTTATACCTAGGTTCTAATACCTAGAACCTATAGCTACATTGAGTGTAATGTAGATATACTGTCTTGGAACTTTTACATTACCCAAAAGAATCACCTAGTGGAGTCTCTCTCAGTTAATGCCTAGAACATGTTGGATAGTTCAGAACTCGAGGAACTGTAAAAGAACGTGTCACCAGTTTGCTTGAGTATAAGTAAAAGTATCCTTTGAAAATACTCATAAAGGTACACATCTGTGTGCAAAGCTGTACTTGTACTGAATATTATTGTTTAAAAGTTTGGATACATGTGTAAAATTATGCACTTGAGTCAGCTGAATGGGATTGAGTGAGTTATAAGTGAGGTTCAGTTAATATTTCACACCTAAAATGAAGAAAATGAGGTGATTTTTCTTTGAGTTGTGGGGAAATGATCTATCTGTCTGGAACAATGTAAGCAAATTAGAAAAAGAACAGAGGTAATCAGTTTTATAATGAAAGAGCGACGTGAGTCTAAACTTTCCTTTCAGTCATTCACGCAGTAACGCACCTCATTCAACTAATTAAAGTTTGAATAATGACAATAATTGCTTGATCAGTCGAGATCAGATAATGTGTGTTACTCTTTGGTAGGAACAGAAGATCACGGCAGACTTTGTGAATAAGATTAAGACCACTTTGTTCAATAATTCAGAAGGAGGTAGAAGCTATGAAAAGGTTGTAGGTTTGTATTGAGCCAGGGAAAGTATCTAAAGACGAGATGATTGTTATTGATTTGGGAAATCATTATCTGTGTAAGAGCACCTAACAGCGAGGTTAAGACAAAAGGATTAACTCGCTCATGCTTAGATTATCTGCTCACGATGGATTCTGATACCAGGCCTTGAGCGGCACGGCAGATTAGCAGGGAACACTTTTAAGAAAAACAATAAAGTGTAAACTTCTTTAGATCAAACTGTTATTTTTTATTTGGAGGCAAACTGTGCCAACAAAACATATTTTGAGCCCCCTGAGCGACGTTTGCCTGAGTTGTCACATGGGAGCCACCAGAGCTGCTAGAGTCACCAGAGCTCCATCTCCGTTGGATCACCTGTCCCTCCTGCCTGACCTGATGATGCTCTGCATGACTAGAATTACCACAGCGGGGCCACCAGCATCTGGCACTGATCATGAACCCTATCTCTCACTTTGACAGAGAACCTATGAGATAGTTCTAATGGTAACACTTTCTATGAATGTCACGTTTGTAAGCATCTATAAACACATTTATAACATACCTTCATAAGGCATTATAAACATGGTTAGAAATATTTATAAAAATGAACTACACTGAATTACACTTTATAGCCATGTTGGTAGCACTTTCTATGAATGTCTCCTTTGTAAGCATCTATAAACACATTCATAACATGTTATAATGCATTAATAAGGCATTATAAACGTGGCTATAAATATTTATAAAAATGCATTATACATTATAGCCATGTTTATTATGCATTATGAATTGTTAACATAATACATTATAAGTACTGATCATAACAAATTATAAGAGCTCATAAGTTGTATTTGTCCACTCTAAGTAAAGTGAAGCGTACTGTACTAAAGCCTCCTCCAGTGTTCAGAGTGAGGCTATGAGTTGAAGTATTTACTGAAGGATTTACTGAAACACTAAAACATACACAGTAAAGCACATTACAGGCTTCAAATGACAGAGTTTAAACTAGAGCTGCCATCAGTGTTTTACCCAATGTGGGAAAGGTAATGTACACCACCGTTAGCTTGGTATTTGTCTTTACTTTACGCTCTTCAAGCTGGGACTGACTTCTTTGGCACTGACAGTATAACATGTTATTAACACTACTTATAAGGCATTATATTAACAATTCATAATGTATAATAAACATGGAGGTAACACTTTCTATGAATGTCACCTTTGTAAGCATCTATAAACACATTTATAACATGTTATAATGCATGATTATAAACATTTATAAAAATGAATTACACTTTATAGCCATGTTTATTATGCATTATGAATTGTTAATATAATGCATTATAAGTAGTGTTAATAACATGTTATACTGTCAGTGCCAAAGAAGTCAGTCCCAGCTCGGAGAATTTAAAGCAAAGACAAATACGAAGTTTATTTATGGGATTTCCAATATTTTATTTCTCACCGCTGGTGCTGTTAGGGCTGCATTTTGTTTAAAATATGAAACGTGGTTAAGTTTACAAGTTTATACGTTTTTCTTTCATATTTTGAGTGATACTATTGGGAATAGGGGCGGCACGGTGGTGCAGTGGGTAGCGCTGTCGCCTCACAGCAAGAATGGCCTGGTTTCAATTCCCGGCCGGGTGACCAGGGTCATTTCTGTGTGGAGTGCCTGTTCTCCCCATGTCTGAGTGGGTTTCCTCCGGGTACTCCGGTTTCCTCCCACAGTCCAAATACATGCAGTCAGGCCGATTGGACATGCTAAATTGCCCCAGTGTGTGTGAATGTGTAGATCTGTCTGTCTGCCCTGCGATGGACTGGTGACCTGTCCGGGGTGTGTCCTGTCTTCTGCCCAATGGCAGCTGGGATAGGCTCCAGCACCCCACCACGACCCAGAGGGATAAGCAGTTTAGATGATCTATGTATATTGGGAATAGGGACGAAATGCTGGTTGGAAAAACAGTAGTTCAGAGAGCAGTGGTTGGCAACCTCGAACCCCGTGTCTACGATTGGTCTGAGATTTTGTTTAAGCCAATCAGTTAGATTGTCACTTCACCACATCATAGTTCAAATTGTCATTGGCTTCAGCTGCAAGTGGGGCTGTATCACATTCGCATTATTGCGTGGGTAATTTAAAGGATGGGGTTTAGTGTGAATGCAAGCCAGAATCCAAAAGCCACTAAGATTGACAAAGTAATTTACCTGCACAAGATTTAGTACAACACCCAGAACATTACCAGGGGGCTCATATGTAAACAGAAGCTGACACATTATCAGGAACTACAATGATGTCTTGATGATAGCTGGCAAAATATAACGTTTTCTGTGACGCTTTGTTTTTACACTCTTGAGTTTTCAGGTTTCATGAGTGAAAAGTGCAGCCAGGGTGTATTTTGTACACAAGTCTAGAGGCACAGAGCTCAGGAGAAGTGTTAAAATCTGAAATCTGCCCCTTGAGCTCGTAAATCCGCTACTGCACAAAAGCAATGAAGCATAGTGCGTTTCTGTAAGGCTTTGTTTTTCACCACTCTTAAAAGAGATGGTTCTTCAAGGGTTCTTTAGTAAAAGGAATGGTTTGATTTAGAACCATGAGTTCTATATAGAACCCTTTCTTTGCATGGTGAAATAGTTCAGACTGATGGAGAATATGTTGAAAATGGTTCCGAGAGCAGAACCCTTTTTGGTGCTACATAGAACCATTTTCAAAAAGGTTCGGTCCCGCTTTATATTGTGTCTCTAATAACTGTGTAGTTACACATTAGTAACATATGCAACAACACTTTAACTACTGATGATTTAGCCAATGTTACAGATGGATTACAGAAGTACAGCCTATGTAATTACACATGTGTATCAACTTCAGTTT